TTACGTAGATTTTAGCACTAGAGACTCTAGCTCAGCACGTCCTGTGCCCCAATAGGGGACTTTACGGGCCTCACGGCCCCCGGACGAAAAATATACATACATACATACATACATACATACATGAACGCTACTTTACATAGAAAAGTCAATCAGAGCCCAATTGATGCTGCTCCCATTTTCTCCAAACTCTTGTGCTCCAGCAAGAAGTTCATTGATCCAACCGGCCTCATTGATCGGAGACGAAAACAGGGTCAGACCTGGAAAGTCCCATTCGAAGACAAACTGATCTGGGACAAAAGACTCAAGTTCATTGTCGCAATTCCTCTCTTGGGTCAGAGGAAAGGATGGTTGTCCTCCTCCAGAGCCTCCTCCATCTTGACCCAACCAGCGCTTATACTTCTGTATACTTGTCTTTAGAAGTTGGAGGTAGAGTGAACTGGTATTTGATCGAGTGTCGTCTTTGTGTCCTGCGGCAGCCACTAGTTCCAGTTCCTGTAGCAAGATGCTAGCCTTTATAACAAGCTCATTGCTAAGACCTTGTGTCGGCAACTTCTCCGCTTCAGGGAGCAAAGCGGACAGCTTGAGCAGAAGAAGGCAACAGAAAGTATTCTTGGCCCAGACAAAGTCCATTGCATACCGGATGCTCTTGAGATATATTCTTGGTTCTTGGATGATGATATCAAGATGTTGCTGAAGCGAAGCTTTGGTCATCGATAAGATGTTCTTCTGGATGGGCGACATAACGTTGACGTTCTCCACGCCTGCAGCCCTCACCGCACGGCAAAGAGCCATGTTATCAGCCCAGCAGCGCTGAACAGACAGGTTAGGCACAAACCAAGGCATCGAGCCATGATGCGGCTGCGAGATACGTATCCAGTCCTGGAACCAGACATCGATGTCAAGTTTGGCATCTTTCACAAGATCGAGAATCTCTTCGTCACTCAGATGGGCGCCCTGGGGCAAGGATGCATATATCTTTGCGCGAAGAACGTTGAGCTCGACTTGAGCAAAGAGATAATGATCCATCCCGGTAGCGAGAGGACTTTGCAGGAGGACTCTGCATCTGCGTGAAGCACCTCGAAACTTGAAGGTTGGCATTCCACCGGCATCCACGTGCAGGATGTAGCTCATCACCAACAAATGCAGCCAGACTCTAGTTTTGCGCATGTGTGTAGTGTTGTCGTTGTAGGTAGCTTGGTCACCGTTATCGATCTGCATTCCGCCCAAGACTGATTCCGCAATGAGTGTATCGTATGCTTCGGGGAACCCAAGATCCAAGGCCATGCGCGTCGCAATTGCAATCAAGAGTGCCCTTTCTCCTGCATAGCAAGCTTGAACGAGGATTGCCTGTACCGTCTCAAGACTTCCCATCAACGGATTGGCGATAGCGGCATTGAGCATGCGTTGAGTCTGAAGTGCAAGAGCTCGCCATCTCGAGCTCGTGCCGTTGAGTACACGGCATCCGACTGAGCATATTGTTATGAAAAGCAAAGCACTGTTGTTGCGAATGCTTTGGATCGAGTCATAACGTTGGTCAAAGACAGGAACGTAGCGGTCACAGCCAGAGAAGAACGCATTAAAGTACAGTTGAGCCTCTTCGTCCTTCATCTCAATTCCAAGTTCGGCAGTTGCTGGAGCCACTGAATCAGTCTCGAACGCTGATTTTGATCTGCCGTGTGCTCTTGTTAGGTATATAGCGGTTTCTGGTGAGCTCGTGCTGGTCGATGCCACTGGTTGCGCAGAGACTCTGGCTGGTGCAGATGCATATACGCCATGAACCGGAATATCCGTACGATTCGCTGTCATGAATGGCGGCTGATCCTCTGCTGAGTAGGTAGTAGGCGAGCATTCCATCATAGGTGCCGGAGTTGATTGCAGGCGTGATTTGAGAAACTCGATCTCTCTCTGGAGCGCTTCAATCTTCCTGAAACGACTCGATTAGTGACGTTGTCTTAAGCGGTGACAAGGGAGCCAAACAGTTCATGGTCCTCTTTTGGTCTCTCGACAAAGTGGCATGTCTTTTGAAGCTGACAACACCTGTGTTGCCTATCAGCGCTGTGAGTCCATAGCCTTCCACATAATATACACACCGAGAACATGGCCGCGAGCCATTGCACTTCACCTAAGCAAGATGTAAGCTGCGTACGTCCAGAGAGGTACTTGAATGCCTACTGACTTTGCTCTGGCGACAAGCTATGCATGCTTTCTTGAAAACGTATGTTAGTTTCTTTATACATGCACGCAATAACTTGACGTCGAAGTTCGCTCGTCTCAGGGGCAAGGCGGCTATACCGGTAATCTTTTCTTACGGATACGTGAGGATGGGGCCGTTTGTGAAGTTCCCCCTTCTGAAGGTTGATGAATCTGTGACATGCTGATCTCGATTCATCTTAATATGTAGGCCTAAACTGATATTGAATGCCGAAACGCGTTTCTCATGATGCTCGTTCTCTGTCTGGCGAATCATGTTTGCGCGGGGAAATCCAGAACCGAAGTCTTGTCTTGACGCCTCAGGCAAGAGTATCATTTCTCAGCTGCTGATAGGTCTGAGGGACAGGCATGTGGAGCTCGGAGTCTTTAATTCTCAATATGACATTATGAGCTGGATCTCACTTTAATCTTGTTTAAATATAAATAAAACTAGCACTATATCTCTGGAGTACTGGAAAAAGAAAACTGGCTCAAAAGCTCCGGGGTCCAGTCGGGCTATATGATCATCAGAAATAATGCCGTTGCTGGCTGTCGGAGTGGACTTTTTACCCCGTGGGGGTTCTCGGCAACGAAATCGGACTTTTTGGTGTTTTCTCCGACTCGAGCGTGAGGGGTTTAGTACTGAACAGGTCACGAGGCAGCGCAGAACCGGACTTGGGCAGAATTCTCCGGCGATGGCGTCGGACAAAATGAGGCAGACCCGATCTTGGCTTCTTTTCGGTAGATATTGGTTGTAAATGAGGCGATACTTGCATCCCGAACCCGGCAATGAATGCATGTTGCGTCAAGTTAAAAGAGGAACATTCCCTCCTCTATTATCCTCCTCCAATCATTAACTATTGAGTTTGCACATCAGAGCTCGATCATTATTTCATCATGCCTCAACGTGAACGCATTCCTTCATCGTGGACTGTCGAGGCAGCCAGCAAAGACAGCAACCAGCCGTCTGTCCACTTGCGTTGCAACGATGCCACTCTACCGTTTGAGTTCAACTTTGAAGCCGTCCGTCCCAACGTCTTCAGAACCACCTTCACATCCGCTACCCATCCTCTACCGCCTCGCCCCAGCGTCCCTCGTGCTCAGACGAAGCTCGATGGTGCTCAGCCAAAAGTCACATCGAGTGACAAGGGTACCAAGATCCAGATTGGTGATGTGATCGCCAATGTCGACTACGCTGGAGAGACCCCTCTTCTCTCTGTAGGCTTTGATGGTCAGCCACCAATTCTCCAAGATCTTGACAACAGATCTTATGCCGTCAATGGCGACGGTGTCGCCCATTACACTCAGTATAACCGCAAGACGTTCCATGTCGGCCTTGGAGAAAAGGCTGCACCAATGGACCTCTCTGGTCGCCGCTTCCAAATATCAGCAACCGACAGCTTTGGATACGACGCTCACCGAACTGACCCTCTCTACAAGAACATCCCCCTTCTGATCAATGCTACACCTCAAGGTTGCGTAGCCATGTTCTCAACTAGCCATACTCGAGGAGAGTACTCCATCGGCTCTGAGATGGATGGTATGTGGGGATTCTACAAGGTCTATCGTCAGGACTTTGGAGGTCTGGAAGAGTACATCATTACTGGAAAGACTCTCAAAGAAGTTGTTCAGACTTACGCGGACCTCGCTGGCTATCCTCTTCTTGTACCCCGCTGGGCCTTTGGCTACCTTTCCGGAGGCATGAAATACTCCATGCTCGACGATCCCCCTGCTGGCGAAGCCTTGATCGAGTTGGCACACAAGATGAAGGAGCACGATATTCCTTGCTCGGCTTACCAGATGTCATCCGGGTATACCGTGGCTGAGCAGCACCCAAAGAACCGACACGTCTTCACTTGGAACCGTCACCGTTTCCCCGATCCCGAGGATTGGATCAAGGAGTTTCATAAGCTGGGCATGCGCTGTATTGCCAACGTGAAGCCATATCTCGTTTCCAGTCATCCCGAGTACCAGAAGCTCAAGGACGCTGGAGGTCTCTTCCTTGATCCTCACACCAAGGAACCAGCTGTTACCAAGCTTTGGAGCGCAGGAGGAGGTGAGAGAGCCAACGGTGGTCATATCGACTTCACTTCCGAGGCCGGTTACAACTGGTGGTACAATGGCATCAAGAAGCTCGCAGAAGAGGGTATCGACTGTATGTGGAACGATAACAACGAGTACACAATTCCCGACGACGAATGGGAGTGCGCTCTCAATGTCAACAAGGATGTACTCGAGGTTCCTGAAGGCCTTGAGAAGCGTCCTCAAGTCGGCCTCTGGGGTCGCAGTCTACATACCGAGCTTAACGGCAAGGCATCGCACGATGCTCTTCTGGCTGTCAACCCAGACTCGCGTCCTTTCGTTCTCACTCGCAGTGCTACAGCTGGTACTATGCGTTACGCCTGCAGCTCTTGGAGCGGTGACAACACTACCAGCTGGGATAGCATGAGAGGCTCGACTGCTCTCGGTCTCAACGCTGGCCTCTCCCTGATGCAATGCTACGGACATGACATTGGTGGCTTCGAGGGTCCTCAGCCCGACCCTGAGCTTCTTCTTCGATGGGTCCAACTCGGTATCTACTCTCCTCGATTCGCAATCAACTGCTTCAAGACAGGCGAAGACAACTCAATCGGTGATGTCATTGAGCCTTGGATGCATCCATCCATCACCCATCTTGTCCGCAAGACTATCAAGCGTCGCTATGCATTGATTCCTTACATCTACTCTCTGTCTCTTGAGAGTCACCAGACTGCTTCGCCACCACAAAGATGGATCGGTTGGGGCTACGAGTCTGACCCCGAAGTATGGAAGCTGCTCGATGGAGAGAATCAGTACTGGCTTGGTGACTCCATGCTCGTCGGAGGCGTCTTCGAGGCCGGAGCAAGCAAGGTCAAGTTCTATCTCCCCAAGGCATCAGATGACGATGAGGGGTACCTGAACCTGAATGCGCCATACCAGTACCTCGAGGCTGGTCAATGGGTTGACCTTGACGTTGAGTGGCATGGTGCTGGCATTCCCGTCCTCGGCAAGGTTGGCCGTGCCGTCGCTGTTGGTCGAGATGTCCAGGTTCTCTCTCCCGGCGAGAAGGAGAACGTCGCAAACCTCCCTCTTGATGACTACCGAGCTGTCGAGATCTTCCCTCCTCAGAAGGCATCTCGTGATGGCAAGTGGCATGAGACAACGTGGTATGAAGATGATGGTACCTCTGTGTCAACCAAAAACAACATCTCTTCTTACACCATCGCTTACTCGGCTACGGAGTCTGAGATCAAGGTCAAGTTCTCCAAGGATGAAAGCTCTGGCTTCCAAGCACCCTGGAAGTCGCTGGTTGTCATCCTGCCCTTTGGAGACTTGAGAACGGTCGTGAGTGAGGATAAGGAAGTTGTTTCCTTGGGTCTGAGTGCAGAGGGCAAAAAGCAATTTGAGCTAAAGTAGATGTTACGTGGGTAATGAGACAGTTTGTCGGATAACAGAAGCTAGCGATAGTTGGGCTTTTCTGCTGTATTGGTAGTCTATTTGAATAGTCCTTAAGAGCGAATCCAATTCATGATTTCTGAATGTCTTACGGTCGCGTAGACGCGTTTTGGCGGTATTCCTAGGCATGGATATGGAGCCAACATAAAAGGGTGCAAGAAGTGATTTATATTACAAGGCCTGGTTGGGTGGCTAGCTTGGTATTTCAGAAGAAAATTATCATAAAAGCAAGAGTATTCTGCGCCAATCACTCAACTTAACATGACTCTTCTGCCATAATATTCTTACAGCCACGTACCGATTGTATCCTTAACAGTATCTACAAGCAGTATCTGGACAATACCCATGGTTGCAAGTGTAACTGCACAGTCCCTTATAACTGTCCCCAAGACCGGAAGCAGGGCAACCCTCGCGGCCATTGGAAGCTGGAGGTGATAGAGCTGTTCCATACCTGGTACACTTGCATTGAGCTGGAGGGCAGTAGTCATAGGCACAAGTGAACTGGCAGAGACCAAGATAGTTACCGCTTTGACTGTCTGCTACAGCACCCTCGATACAAGCCTTTCCGTTTCCTGTGTCAGTCACCGTGGGGGGGTCATTTCCTTGTGTCGGAGAAGCAGGGTTGGTTCCGAGAGAAGGCTTAGGCTGGCAGGTTGTGACGTGCAGACCAACAGTCAAAGACGCGAGACCACTGCTGTCGAGAGGGTCAGAAAAGCCGGCGGCAACGGTACCAACATAGACATTAAAGTTGTACAAGCCACAGGAGCAGACAGCAGTGATGTCCATAAGAGAGGTATCAGCCAAGACGTTGGTACTGCCACGCTTGAGAGTGAATGTCTGCTTGCCAAGGCTAGCATCGACCTTAATAAGAGTAGCTCCTGCAGGGACTTCTTTCGTAACAGTGTTGCTTCCTGATTTGATGATCACTGTTCCAGCAGACTTGAGCAGACTCACAACGTAGACAGTGTCTTCCATTGATTGCCATCCATCTGGGCGACCCTGGAAATAATTCTCATTGGGCTTAGGTGGCGCTCTACCAGAGGTCGTATCGGTAGCATCGCAGTTGAGACCCTTCAGATTACGGCGATACCAGTAAATGATTTGATCTTTCTCAATGTACTTGGCCACGCTGGTGTCTTTGTTCTTATATGCGGCGATAAAGGGCTTAGAGAGGTCAAGCCAACCGTTGTGAGGCATATCGTTAGACCATTTGGATGCTCCATCGTCGGTGTGTTTGTTTTTGAGGGGTCCGATATAGTGAGACTCGCCATAGTCGTTCCAGGTAAGGATTTCAACCATGGGGAAACCCTTTTGAATAACCTCGTTCCAGCGGTCGAAGATGAGTGAGCCGCTCGGGAAGACCCAGTTCTGACATTGTTATTCTTTTGGCCATTCCTTTTCCATGACAAGAGGGAACTAACCTTGGACCAGTCGACCTCAGGACCATAGTGAGTAAAGAACCAGGGCGAGATAGCTAGTTATGGGTCAGTCACCTGCACTAGTATGTAGAGGACGGATACTTACGAGCCATGTACTTTTTGTTTCCAAGCCAGTTCGTGTAACTCTTGTCACCATCGGCGACACTGACACTCTTACCATCCTTAGGCGCCTTGTTATTACCATCGTTTGGCCAGCCCATCCAGTTCAGAGCACCATCAATACCGTTCGTAGAGCCTCCCCAAGGAGTAAAGTTGGGGACGAAGAAGATATTAGAGCCAGAAGCACTTCTGACAGCATTGGCATCGAGGTTATCTCCTGCAAAACTGGACACAAAAACTCTATTGTCAATGCGTAGCTGACCTGGGCGGTCGGCATACTTCTTGACCTTCTGACCAACAGCGGCTGCATCGCCAACCGACCAGAAATGAAAGTCGAATGAGATGAAAACCTTCATACCATTACGGTTGGCAGACTCATACGCGTAATCGAGCTGTGCATCCGTGTAATCGTCGGTGCCGATGTTGAGGGCAAAGGCGTCAATGCCAGCGGACTTTGCACGCTTCATATCATCGTCATAATCGGCAGAGCTTTGTCTGTTGCCAACAATACCGATCTGATGATGTTAATTGAGCACGGACGTGAGCGGCAGATATGCATACCATGAAGTGAGCGAACACCAGACGATCACTCGAGGAGGCTCTTTCATCAAGCGATCGACTGTCAAGAACAGCACCTTGACAAACCGTAGCAGCGAAGGCTGCAAGGCCAAGGCCTTGGAATAGGCGAGAAACTAGAACCATGGTGAACTATGTTCGACTACCAAACTGTTGGTCGTTGGTTTGTCAATGAACATGAGGGATTAAAGAGCAGAATCTGCTGCTTTTATGTACATTTTTAAACTTGAAAAAACAACCCAGGTTATACGGAATGGGCATGCAGACCGTGCAGGGAAGGAGATTGCAACGCTGTGGGTCAGGAGATCCATAAACGTGCAGTGGGCTGACAGCGTGTTTCATGGATTAATGGTGTGTTTGAAAGATATTAACATACGCTAACCTGCAAGATCGATCCTGTAAGCTACAATAAGATACATACTAACACGTTAGAGAAATGGCAATATAGCTATATTTTGTCACTACCCTTGCTCCTAAAGTTCTTTGTCTAAGAGTCGTCAGATAAATGCCAAGAGGAGTCTCCAGTTCAACCATGTCTATGGGCTGCAACCGAGTATAAATACGAGGATGACAGGGTACTGAAGGATTCACCAACTCCGCACTGTCGGCCATAATAGGAAATCAGTTACCATTTTGCCCAAATTCACGGCAATCCGGCGTTAGTATTTGGCCACTATGCACAAGTTCCCAAGAAATAGTACGTAAGATGCTAGTCAACATGACTAGGGATGTATTAGCCATGAGTCGCAAACGGGTCCCAGTAATCATTCAAAGTATCACTAGAGCCGGAGCAGGTAACTTTGAGAAACAAGGTATCAATCGCTTATCCGCCAAGGCGGAATCATAGGGACGTAAACTGAAGAAACCTTCATAGCCAGCAGCACTCACGAGGCCCAGCCACGCCAAGACAAAGAAAGTCGGGGCTACCGTTATAAACTTCCAAGTCGAATACATCAGCCTATAGCGTCGGTTGGCTGATGTTGGCATCGAATCTCTTATAGGCATAAAGTTGAAGTTGTGTGATCAACCTTGCCCTCAAGGTGGATACCAATCGAGGAGAATTGCTTCTAACACCAGTGACGATCGACTCGCTGAAATTTATCGCTCGCCTGGCACTAGCAAGGGACTCAATCGAGGGTAAGCTGTCGGATGGAGAGAATCCGAGGACGGTGTTTTGTCTAGTGCGGACCAAGAGAATGCTCTTGTTACATCTCGATTGATCATTGCACTCATTGTTGAGGCCTTTAAACAGCTTGGCTGTTGGTTGAGTCATTGCAGCAGCGGTGACAAGGCTCAGTGACTGTGGATCTTCCGCAGTATCAGCGCTTAATGAAATGGGTATACAGATTTTAGGACAGCTCACGCTGCCAGTTATTCCTGTACCACGCACTTCCAACGAAGCTAGCCTTGAAGAGCTCTCTACTTCGACTGGGCAGTTGCCTCAAATCTTATTTACCACGCTGGAAAGCCGTTGGCTCAGGTTATATCGACCGAGACGAATGGATTCCGAATTCTCTCTGGTTCAGCCGAGGGCCGAGGACTTTTTGCAGGACTACAACACAGCCATGCCTTTACCATTATGCTCACAGACCAGATGTATGAGCTCATTCAGGGTATATCTCAGTAGGTTTAAAGTGAGTGACCTCATATTTTACCACTAGAGATTTGGTTAGTAATCCTGAAGAGTGTTTAACATTTCATGCCGCAAGCACTTCAGGACAGAGTAGTATAGACAATCAATCAGACGCCTCCAGACATCATCATTAATCTTTTTGTCGTGGATATCGATGTCAATAACTTCCTTATAATAAACTTCCTCGATTTGGCTATGTTTAAAGTATCTAGCATGGCGGACCAAATGCCAACTATCTGAACAAATTGCCTCTTGCTATCAATGACCTAAGTTCTCTGTGCTGATATAAGCTCTCAGCCACAAGTCTCAACTGCAAATAACACACCTGGCTCATAACTTAAACCTTATACCACAATGCCTGACCAATTGCTACCTTGCTATCAATGACCAACTGCAAACTCAAAAGCCCAAGCAGTGTTTTTATCAACATTCGTCTGGTAAACAGGAAACGTCACGGAGTTCCCAGAGTAGGTATGCGAATACACTCCTCGATCAGTGGGGGCTGAGACTCCTCCATAGTGGCCATTATCAACAAACCCATAGGTATGGATAGCAAGACTGCCTGAAGTCGGGAGGCCCACGGAGCTGAGGTTGTTTATGGTAATGTACCACGTACCAGTAGCGATATTTACGCCGGTCAAAACGCGAACCTTGTCTGTTCCGATAGTTGTATACACGTCCAGCTTCCCGTCCCCGCTCCCAGTCGTGGTGGCTCGAGTGCCGGTCATGTTGAGGTTGTAATACTTGTAGACTTGGTACTCGCCGTTGGGGACGTACCCTCCGGCAGTGCAGCTGTTGTCATCGGACTTGCCTAGCAGAGATGCCATGAAGTCGTGCAAGGCGCATCCGCTGAGCCAGTTTCCACGAAGTCCGATGTAGTTGTATCGCTCCAGACGGGAGATCCACCAGGCTGCACCTGTCGCAACCTGCTGTGAGAAGACGGCGTATTCGTTGATGTTGACTTGGTTGTCGGGTGCATTGTACTGCTGACGAAGTGCTTGCCAGTTACCATGGTCATTGGCCACATCGCCGGGTTCGTCATGCCACGTCCACTGGTCGGGAACTACCTTATTGGCCATGACATATTTCACAAATGCCACCCACCAACTGTTTGAGGTCGAAGGCTGTCCAGCACTGGAGGGACCGACGAGGGGGACGTTGTTAAATGCGGAGGCTGATGGGAGTACCGGAGTTAGTAGGATTCCTCCGCGTTCAATCCATCAAGACTTACAGGATCGAATGCGTTGGTATGTGCGCTTCCACATCTGCAGATATTGATCTTGGCTGCGGCTCCAAAAGCTACCATCGGCTCTGTGTGTGCTGCGTCAGAATAGCACTGGCCAGTAGCATAATACAACACTTTCACTTACTCGTTCCAGATGTCGATATCCAAGCCGTCCAACATGTTGTTAGATTGCAGGTCACCAAGCAACTGGTTCAAGAACTTGTCGTAATCTGTCCAATCGCCATTATCGCCAGGCCAGGCCGTAGTTGAGGTTGCATGATCAGTTCCCCAGATATCGTGGGGCAAGAGCTGGAACCTGGCACCGAACTTGCGAGAGGTCAGATAGTTCTGCTTGGTCGAGTTGAATCGCGCGGCATAGGCTTGAAGGCCCTGAACCCAGCCACCCTCGTTCATCTGTGCGCCTCCGGCACGGGCATAGTTAAAGCCCATGTCAGTGTAAAAGTGATCAGGGATCTGAGTTGGGGATTGGCCAAACCCGGAGTCAGGAATGCCGTAGATAAACCCAGAAGCCAAGTGCTTAGGCGGCCCACGACCCTTGGAGAGGTCGACTGTAGCCGTGTTGGATGACGTTTGGCGGCGCTCGAGGGCAGACGAAAGGCCCAGCTGAGGTAGCGCTGCCAAGGCCACCAGGCCGCTGATAGTCAGAGATCGCATAGTTCCAGGTAGGTGAGAACCTTGGAGAAGACGTAAGATTTTGAAATTTGAGTAAGTAATGAAGATGTTGTCGTGATGTAAAGGCTTGGACTAGAAGCGATACATGTGTCGTGGGATCAAAACTATACTTATACTTGACAAGTTAGGGGTATCACGGAACTCGGCAGTTTAGCTGGTTCCCGCACTAATTACCCCGTGGGGACGGATAAGGCGCCCGGCATTGCCTCATAGGCTTCAAGGTCAAGAACACTTCCATGCCCCTCTAGCAAATGCTCTAGAGGTTTTCATTAGTCTACGTATTCGAAAGGTCCCTGTCTTAGTTCAGCACGTCTCTCCGGTGGGAGGCTTTGGTCTATAATTTGTGTCTGGTGGGGAAAGTCCGGTGGGAGAGGCGATGGTTGATCAGTGTGTATGCGTGCGCATGACATCCGTGATCCAGGGCTAACATTGCGGGGTAGTATAGGAGAAGTTTCCATGCGATCCAATCATCTCGCAAACTTGTCAAAAGGTGGGATGACCCTAATTGGTACGCTTTTTGCTGATATTTTATGGTATTAAAAAAGCAGACCGAAATGACAAGGGCATATCTAACACTATCTGGCTTAAAGTCTTATACCAATGCTTTGCTGATGAGTTCGTTTGCGTCCTATCATATTCTGACCATATAGTTTTAAGAAGCCGCAGAAAGCTATCGCTCGCTTTGTACGGCAAAGCTTGTCTAATCGCGACGAGCCTTGACAAGACGAAACGTCTTGTTTCCCTAACCCTCAGAACGGACTGCGGAATAAATGCGGTCACGGTATCTGATCCTCTTCATAGACATGCTAACGATATAAGATCTAATAAATCCCATTCCAGCCGCGAAATGAAGATATCAGATGGATCATTATTGACTCCCTCTGGTGTTCTTGGACAGTGAAAATCGGGATATTCTTGGAACTTGAGACCCATTGCCACAGAAACATATCACATGGGGTGAATGAACCTTGAAACTGATTCAGCTGGAATCCTTTCAAGTGTAGTCACAAGCTCCAGAGTCAAGTCAATAAGAGATTTTGCTCGAGATGCTTTATCCTTTGCATCATCGGAGCTGCTGGCTGATGCATTTTGTCCACCGCTTGCGTTGACGACAAGATCATCAAAGGTCAGGTACAGCTGCAACAACCCAGCTTTACGATATGCCTCGGCTGTTTCTAGTAGATGAGACACGGGGGCGTTATCATCCCGTGTATCGACATCAAAGTCTTGCGGCTCCTCTAGAAGCACGATAGTCTTAAAGTCCACACTCAAAAGCTCTTTCTCGAGCTCGCGCGCAACTGCTATGTCGCAAAGGGCCTTGTTTGCTATTTTGAGGCCAGTGGTTGTCTGATCTTTGTTGTAATCGCACGCGCTTCGGCAGAGGGCCAATAGCCGGCCGGAAATCTCAATGACCTCGTTCGATATGCCACACCAAGAGTTTGGAAGTGTTCCTAGTGGCTCGAGACTTGAACTGATTGACGAATGCTCAGATGATGATGTTCCAAAAGTATCATCTTCTGGTAACATGGCCCGACGAAGTTTGTCCTGGTATTTCCGTCGTCTTTTCTCGACATTTGAAGGGTTTGAGCCACGGTCTACCAATGCAAGAAGCATCTCCCAGTAGACCAAAGCTTTACAGAAATAGGCATATATCAGAGCGTTCGCCGCCTAAATGCTAAGATTCTAGATAGAAAGCAATTCTTTAGCTGATTCCAGCCACGAATAGTCCGAGTTCCTAGAAGTGACCCAGTGGGATGAGGTTCACATTGCGAATACAGCAAAGACGAAATCAGCTGTAACTTGACCTACGCCTACATGTCGTACTCGGGATATTCTGTAGCTAATGGCGAGAGTAGATTGTTCTCTCAGCGACGTTATGGCTAGCCTCAGATGGGGCATAGTGTCTACAAGACACACAGCCGACATGACTTGCATCGTGTAGAAGACGGCCTCAGATTTACCCCATGAGTTCCGAGCCAATAAGCGATTGTTGTTCACCTCGGAATCAAACGTGGAGCGAACTGGTTAAATGTGTCGAAACCAGTATTCGATTAGCGTTGTTGATATGTGAAAGGCGGGGACTGGATATTGATGGCAGGTGACGCCGTGAATCTGACATTCCAGGTCTTTCCAACAAGTTGAAGGCGTCTTGTAAAGGCTCGCCAACATGGCCAACCTCGATATCAAGGTCCCTAGGTTGCCAAGTTGGCGCTGCCTCGATTACCCAGGAAAAGTCGCAGTCATCATCTAGGATGAGTAGCCCATCCGGCAAAGTATCCAACGCATACTGAAGACCAGTCAACCCGACTTGGATATTGAAATCATCTGCTTGAATTACAGGTGGTGGATCTTGCGATTGGTCATCTCTTCCAGAGATCGTCCGTTCAGATATTGATGTCTCGGCCTGACCTGGAGTAGGGTGAGCATAAGCTATGAGGATCGATATATCTATAAACAGACCTTGCAAGTTTTAAACGGCCGTATACTGTAATAGGTAGTTCTCGGCCGTTCTTTCTCGTTTCTTCGTATCTAGTCAGCACTTATAATGCGATTACTGTTTCTTGGCATTTCCTTCCGGTAGTAGAGGGTCATGAAGAAATGCGGGCCTAGGTTAATCCGCTCCCGCATTCATTTCTTCCAACTCATGATTTCCACTACTACCAGCCTAGCTCCCTAAATTCATCATCCTTAAAAAAACAATAGCAAAGAGCATGCCACCTACTAACCCAGGCCTCGAGCCTCTCACTCGCCACGCCTGCGAGCCATGCCGGTACCATAACATTCCCCCTACATGGTATCGAGACGCTTACCTTATGATAGACGTAAGAAGATAAAATGTACGGCTGAAAGACCTGTCTGCTCGTATTGTAAACGTCTTGGAGATCGATGTCATTATCTACCAAGAGGCCGGCCTGGGTCTGACGGTGGAAGGCCGCGACGAAGAGCAGCGTAAGCCGAACTAATGCGAACTTTTACTACGACTAAAACTTATTTTCCATGACAGCCGGAAACCTATATGGAATACATCGGCGCGTGCAGCAATTAATTCCAATGACCTAATAAGCTATGCTAATCATGCAGTGGACTCCGAAAATCAAAGATGCGCAGATCAACCCTCTCAGGCTATAGACCTTTTGTCTATGCAACAGACTTTTGATATATTTTCTACCGCAAGGTACTACATTTTATAGTATTCTTAAGTAGCTTGGAAAAGATCTTATACTGATTTGATGTCTTGAAAGACCCGATCCGAGCTTGCCAGTCATTAGTCATTTTATTGATATCTATAAGAAGAAGATCCACCTCCAACCCTTACCAGTATTTGTCGAACCAGACCTTGCTGTAAAACTAAACACAGCACCTCGATATCTTCTCTGGAGCTTCATGTCTCTCATGTTGAACTTTTCTACTCACAATTTTTTTAACGGCCAGGAATCAACTGCAGCTGAGTTCTACTCACGCGAAGCTGAGCAGACTGTCATGGAAGAGTCCTCCGAGGGGGTACCAGCGATAGAACTAGTACAGGCTCTATGCTTAATAGCTTTGAAGCATCTCAAGAGTACGCTAAGTCTGTTCCTAAAAGTTACTATACTGACCGATTATTCAGCCCAAAAGCTCAACCGTGCTTGGATGACGACGGGGACTGCCTCAAGAATAGAGGCCCTACGGCTTCTCTCCTACGAATGTCTATCTACACCCAGGGACCATGCACAGACTCGATCCTACTGGCTTGTACATGCTCTCGAATGCCTTTTTGTACCAATTAAAACCACTACGTCTGATTTTCAAGTTCCAGACTATCCCGACTTGACTCTGATACCACCTCTGCCTGACTCTTCTGGTACAGAAGAAGCTGCCCAGGATACCGTACATGTGACTGGCTCATCTACCACTGAGATCGATAGAGTCGGCATTATCGCACACAGTTTGCGCATCATCGACATATGGGGAGAACTCACATCCTATTTGCACACTCTTCGACAGGGCAAAACTGAAAAGCCTTGGTCGCCTGACTCAATACATATGAGAATAAATCTTGAGCTGATCGACTTTGAAGCCAAGAGCCCTAAAAAGCTCTTTCTTTGCAATGCATACCTCTCTAGGCGAACCAGAGATGAAGTTTCTCGATATCCCGAGTTTTGGAACCGCTTTATGGTAGGCCAGCTGATGTGGCACGCCACCCACGCCATTCTCAACCACCCTTTTATCCATCTATCTCTCCTGGCCTCTCAAGGTAGCATCCCTCCATCATGCTTCTTCATGCAACAAAGGATTGATATGGCGATTTATCATTCCAACTGGACATTTCGACTACTCGAAATGTTCGATAACCTAATGGACATAGTTGATCCGATGATTGCGAACGCAATGGCCGGTACTGCGACGGTCTCCTGGTTGTTTCAATTCTCCAAGGACCAGGAGATCGCTCAAAAGGCGCAGAATAACTTAAACAAATGTGAAGAATTCTTGTGCCAAGTAGCTCAGACCTGGCCGCACATTTCACAGAAGGTATGTAGCAGATATTATGTAAACTTACATGCCAAGATATTCAAGTCAAGAGCTAACACAAAGACCCGAGATTGATGCTCTACGAAAGCTCCAGGCACTTGCTAGGGAGAACTACCGGCAATGCTCAAGCCAAGGCACAACAATCAGCTTTCAATCTGCATGGTTTTGGGACCTCCTTTCGCCCAGGCCTTCGTTCGGGGCGAATGAGGCTCGTGCACCTGGCTTGAGAGGTGAGACCAAGTCCGAGATTAGTCTCAAGAACCATTTTGTTTTGCCTCTGCATGATGGTTTAGGCTCTGAGCCAGGCAATCCCCTTGTTGGGTTGGCTGTAGATCCGTTTTTGGTCATGCCTGGAGAGCTGGAGCTGTTCAATATTGACTCATTGTCCCATGATTTTTTCCAGAGCGGACTTTGGGACCCAATCTGATGAGGGCAGCATTCATTTTGGCCCAGTCTCACATGGCCGAGATTGGTGTGCCAAAGGCAGTGGGTACGGAGCTGCAGAGCTCAACTTTGGTTGGCTCAATCGTGACTATAATATGGGTACGGAGGCTGACTTAGACTTATTCGGTTAGCTCGCGACGTATACAGGAACATGCGGCGGGTACGGAGTCGCTGGGTATTCCCTAACTGGACGTGCTAAAGTGAGATTGAGGGCTTCAGCCTCCGAAATCTTCGTTCTGGAGAGATATAAAATCATTTCGTATGGTAGTAAATCATGATTAGTTTTCCGTCGTAATTCATCGTTGACCTATCTTATATCTAGACTAAGCATAATACGCTGCTCCCAGTACTATGACACAAAGCACAACAGCCCGACACAACCGGGTCACCACGGATAGAAATGGCATAATCGAAAACGTCCACTATGTCCACGTCGCTGTCACCGATTCTGAGGGCTGTATCATCTTTTCTGTTGGCGATCCCACAAGATTCACCCTTGCTCGCTCAACGGCAAAACCTGCACAAGCTGTTGCCATCATCGAGACAGGGGTCTGTGACACTGTCTTTGATCAAGTTGACCTTGCCCTCATCTGTGCTTCACATAATTGTGAAGATAAACATGTGGAAAGGGCCAAAGCCATGTTGGTCAAAGCTGGAGCTCAGGAAGTACAATACCGCTGTGGTGGACACGCGTCCATATCTCCGGCTATCAACAAGCTCTGGGCCAAGAGAGGTGTCGACTACACTGGAGGTGTCTATAATAATTGTTCTGGCAAACACGCTGGTATGATAGCTGGTGCTCTCGCCATCGGTACCGACCCCCAAGATTACCACCTACCTGAACATCCCATGCAAGTCCGTACCAAACAAGTGGTCGAAGACCTCTGCCCTAATCCAAGCCTTGTCCAATGGGGTGTTGATGGGTGCAACCTGCCAGCCCCAGCCTTTCCACTCTTCTACTTGGCTCAGATGTATGCCAAATTCGCCGCCGCGGCCGATACGCCAGAGATATCTTCTTCCGCAAGGACTAAGAACCTCGCACGAGTTTATCATGCCATGACACAACACCCCGAGTTTGTTGCAGGAGAGGGGAGATTCTGTACAGAGCTGATGGAAGCATACGGAGGAAAGTTGATGGGCAAGCTAGGTGCTGATGGGTGCTATGCTGTAGGGATACGCGAGTGCGCCGACACAAAGGGTCTAGGAGTCCATGGTGCTGTGGGCATTTCCGTCAAGGTAGATGATGGAAACTACGAGGTTCTCTATGCTGTGGTAATGGAGGTTCTGGAGCAGCTCAACATCGGAACAATCCAGACAACAAAGTCACTACAAGACTGGCATTATTTCAAAAGGCGGAATACTGTGGAAGTCGTTATTGGTTCCGTCAATCTCGACGACATACAACTGCACAACAAGTAATCCACCTAGACAATGCACTACTGGTTGCACAACACGCGCTCAGCAAGAATGTCAGAGAGATTGCATGGCTATTAATAACTGTGATGACTGTATCGAGCACCTCTTGATCATGGGCGGAGCAGAGTCAGCTGCACTAGAAGCTTGCTCTCAGCCAGGTATATGTTACAATTATAAACCCCATTACGAGGCACCGAGCTAATGCATGAATAGGAGACTCTTACTACTGCAACTGCGGCTGATTCGTAATGGAGTTGAGCGCTGGACTTAAATGAGAGACATGCACAAAGCTTCAGATAATCTTTAAGCAACGGGGAGCATTGCATACCTACCTCCACAACTCATATGAGGGACAGAGCATTGGTCAAAGAAAGCGGAGCGGAACAAAAGCGATTTAACACGAAGAAAGTCGTATAATTATATTGCCCAGCGAAACTAGAATACGACATTATTGATCTATTTGCCTTCCTTCAAGTAGCCAAAAGACAGGGTGGGACGGATGAACCCAGCCTCCTCGGGGAACACGCCGTAGTCCCAGACGGTGTAGAAGTTCTTCAGGAACCGAGTACCAAGCAAGGCGAAGCCCTCAGCCCCAGAATCCATCGGTGGCCAGCAAGCATCGTCTCTGTTTGCAAAACCAGGAAGAGCCAGTTGATCGCCGGTGACGTTGAGGAACCTGCTGTCGCCGTAGTAGCCAACCTCGAAGGCAACAGACCAGTCCTTGGTAAACTCGCTGCACAGGGGAATATGGTCGCCGTTGAGAATTGCCGTCCAGTTCATGCCGATAGATTCGTAAACTTCGACGATCTTGGACTCGGGAAGTGTGATACCAGAAGCTCCAGTGTCAAAGACAACCCTAACATCGAGGTCGACCTTAGATCTGGTCTGGGAGCTGTTCTTTCCCTTTGTTGAGGCGGTAGTGCTGTGAAGTACGGATCTCCAGACATCATAGTCATTGAGGTTTGTGTTGATCGGAATATCAATCAAGTCGCCCTTGACGTACTCCTTCTCCTTGGACCCTCCTAGTGTGAGGAGGCCCTTTCCTGGCTTGCCCTTGGTATCGTCGCCATCTTCTTTCGAATAGTAAATTCCGAATCGAGGCTCGTCCACCTTCTTCTCCGCCATAAGAGTCTCGAAAACGGGTGTAGCGCCGCCATCAGCGATGCTACCAAAAGCCAGGCCCATGAAGCCGGCAGCGGCCAGCGAAGACCAGTTGCTCTCGTTGGCTGCGATAAACTTCGACTGCCAAGTCAACCCAGCCGCCTCGAAGCGCTCTTCCACGGTCGGGCCAGCAACTTTTCCTCCGAGATAGTCGATGGAGGCGTCCTCTCCCGTGTATTTGCCAGTGGAAGATGCGGTGAAGTTATACCCGACTCGGTCCTTGTTGTAGTGGGGACACTCCGTGGCGCACTCGCTATCGATCATCCAAGTCGAAGCACTTCCAGTGTCGAAGAGAAGAAGGAAGTCTTGCTCGGGCTTTCCGACGCCGACCTGAACCATTTTCTATCAAAGTTAGTTTTCGCATGTACGACACAGTCCGATCAACATACATAGCCATCCTTGATGACCATGGGCATGTCCAAAACGGCAGCTGAGGCAGCGCCGAGAAGGGTCGAAGTCGCCAAAACGGCCGAAGCGAAACGAGTGACAGAACCCATTGTTGTATGAGGTCAATGACGAGGTCGAGCAAATGTGAAAGGGGCGGGATAGGCCGTCAACAAATCGTAGGTTGCTGCGATGTCTTATAGGCAAAATACACCATGTGACGTATTGCGCACAGAACGAGATTAAGTGGCCAGTGACTCCATAAACACGAACTAATCTCGGTTGTTGTGGCTATTATTAGGATGCGCAAAGCTAAAGGACGGCATTTGCTGAACATCCCTTGCATACTCTGCATTTATGCACTTCACAATCCGTCTATATATCTAAGCCCATCAGATAGCTCGAATTATCTCTCACTGTAACTCACACCATTGTCAATCACCTTATCACAGCAAAAGTCCCCAATCGACAGTTTTCTTTTCCAATTCGAGCGCGGGCTCTTGGTGAATTAAACCCTGATACATGAGGCCAGATGTCGCATGCCAAAGGAACCATTGAATTCTTTATCTGTTGTGGTGATCTTACCGATATTTACATCAATTGAAAGGAGATCGAATGTTCAGTGCATGATGTTTGTGAGACATGCTAAAAAACTTAGCGCTTGTGCAGTCTTGGCTTGATACGAGCAATCTCGATTTTTTAGTGGACAGGATTATGCTGTAGCCGGAGATGCCGAGGCATGGGCTCGTACTCTATTGGTGGCTTCAGCTTCAGGGTAGCAAAATCTGACTTTAATTTTTGTAAACATACTCTATCCAGTATGCTTTCGAACACTCTTTCAATTGTCAGAAGTGTATCAGAGACACTTGCATCGTGAGCAAAATGGCCATATTGCTTGGGAGGAGACTAACTGGCAGATTGGTGCACCTGTAGCCAGAAGGCCTTGGTAGCTATGGGGCAAAAAGGTACATTTTCTTTGCTTAATATTAGATGTACTGAATCGAGTGAACGAACGCGACTTAGATACGATAATGCTTTCTTTCTTGCTGACCGAAAAACAGTGGTTTAGACCTGCTCTCAGCCTCTGGCTTATATAACCTATGTGAGATACCTGCGACTTGCTCCAGGAAGCAATTGGTGTTCGACATATAGTATTTAAACTTCACGTGATCCAAGACATACGTCACAGTTGCGTATTATGTATTGTACTGCCCGTCTAAACATTTAACCTAACTTTTGGAGGTTCCGCGTATTGTGTGATGAGAATCGTGCAAAGTCAGCCCGATGAAAACGCGAATTTGAAAACCGGCTTGAATGCCGAAGTTAAAATTTAAGGAAGACGCATAAATTTGTCATGATTGGCGGGATTTAAGCATCTCCGTCCGACGATAAAAGTGTCCAATCAATAGCCGACATTAGTCTCGGCAATGACAGCGAGCATACTTGTTCTAGAAAGGTTCGAAACCTACTTCTCAACGGCTCTAACCGTCTTTGGACTACCACTTCTTCTGAATAATCATGACAAACGGTGAGAATTTGCAAGCCGACCGGGATACAACCTGTCAAACTTGGCCCCAACACAGTGCTTGACGTTTCCTAGGCGGACATGACGAGTGTTTCACGGCAAACCCGGACCACCTGACTAATGTAAACACTCTATCTTATCAAGAATTAGCGTGGAGTATGGAGTCAAATCGGCGAACTGTGAGGATCTTAACTCATCGTAGCATGAATCAGCTACCGTGGCACCCACCATCTGCCCGGCGTTATTGCGTAGACAGTATAGTCTTCGGCCCTGGTTAACGGAAATGTCTTGGTTTGCTCCATCGATGAAACCTCATGAGCTAAGGTTCTCGAAAGCATACAATGGGGCGACAAGATCGGGTTTTCAACAACCAACTTCTTAAGAAACCAGATTCCCTCACCATCTATTGACATTCCCATGCCAGTCATTATCAATCTATAAAGTGGATCGTCATTTCCCAGGCTCATCATGCGCTTCTCATCTCTTTCGGGCGTGTCTGCCCTTACCTTGGCCGCTCTCACGGCACCGGCCTCATGCAAGCCCGCCGATTCTACCTACGATTACATCGTTGTTGGCGGTGGCCCTGCTGGCCTGATCACAGCTGAGCGACTCTCCGAGGCCAACAAGAAGGTGCTGCTTCTCGAGCGTGGGCATGGTCCAACCGTTGCAACTGGATCCAATCACACTCTTTCTTGGGACTCTTCGCTCACCCCGATCGACGTTCCTGGTCTCTCTTCTGCTGTTGGTGGACTTGATCTATGGAACGAGTATATGTGTGATGATACTGCTGCATTGGCCGCTTGTGTCCTTGGTGGCGGTGTCACTGTCAACTACATGGTCTTTGTGCATCCTCCTGCTCGCGACTTTGACGACAAGTGGCCCAAGGGTTGGAAATGGAACGATGTTGCACCGGCTGCCGACAGACTATATGCTCGCAATCAAGGCACTCTAGTCCCCTCCAAGAACAACGAGCGATACGACCAGGGACTCTACAACACCCTGTCTGGCTTTTTTGATAAGTTGGGCTGGAAGTCGGTTGACATGATCAAGCAGCCTAACGAGAAGCACGAGGTTTTTAGTTGGCCATCCTGGAATGTCAAGAATGCCCTGCGAGCTGGGCCCGTCAGAACTTATCTCCCCCTTGCCCAGAAGCGAAATAACTTCACTCTTCGCATGGGTTCCAAGGTCATTCGCGTTGTCCGATCTGGCTCACGAGCTACTGGCGTCGAGGTAGAGACTGCTGCAGGTAAGAAGGAGATTGTCAAGCTTTCCAAGAACGGTCGTGTTGTTCTTTCTGCTGGCGCCCTCACAACTCCTCGCCTGCTGTTTAACTCGGGCATTGGTCCCAAGAAGCAGATCCTGACTGCTAAGAAGACTGGTGTCACTCTTCCTGCCGAGCGAAACTGGATCAACCTTCCTGTTGGCGAGAACCTCATGGATCACCCCATCTTCACCTTCACCGTCAAGACTGGTGGTGCTTGGGGTATGCTTGACACTGATAGTGTCTTGAACGGCACCGATACCAAGAACATTGATCTCTATGAGCAGAAGTCCTCTGGAGTCCTGACTCAAGGCCGCCATCGCATGATCTTCTTCAGCTCCAACAAGGGTTCCGATGGTGTCACTCGATACTTCCAAGGATCGTGTGCTGCTGGAGGTGATGGTATCGCTTCCATCAAGGTCTACATGACCCACGGCCTGACCTCCACCGGTGTTCTGGGTATGACTGAAGAGGGCAAGACTGTCATTGAGAAGTCTCCTTACCTGCAAACAGATGGAGATGTCGAGGCCGCAAAGGCCTTTGTTCAGGATATGGTTGAGAAGATCACTGATTCTTCATCTGGATTCGTTCTTCAGAAGGAGACCAACACCACAGCTATCATCAAGGCTGTCACCAGCGGGAACCACTATGCCGGTACTACCAAGATGGGTACTGATGATGGTCGCAAGGGAGGCTCTTCAGTTGTTGACGCCAACGCCAAGGTATATGGCATGGACAACCTTGTAAGTGTAGCTTGTCTCTTTCTACCGATCTACTCACTAATCATCTCTAGTTTGTCTCTGATGCTGGCATCCACCCCGACCTTCCTACTGGTAATATCCAGACTATTGTCATGGTTGCCGCCGAAGCTGCAGTTGCCAAGATCCTTGCTTGTTGAAGAACCTTAGTTTTAACAATGGTAAAAAAGGGGCCCTGGTAAATACATAAAGTAGTACTAGCGGAACATATTGGAGATACTTTTATGCTTTAAAATATTGGTAATAAGCGCGCTGTAGCATCTAAGTAGGTGTTTTTAGACACTTTTGACCACCTCGATGCAGACCTTGCCGAAATGCTTCATGCTCTCCAAGTATTCGAAAGCATCCCTGGCCTCTTCGAGGCTGAAAACCCGCCCATCAATCACTGGCTTAATATTGTTGGCTTCAATTGCACGATTCATCTCCTCAAATTGCACGCGAGGGCCCACGTATGAGATACGTGTAGTGCAGAACCTGAAAAACATGTCCATAAGAACTGGCTGCTCTTCAGGGTGAGCACCAGCCCGTACTCCAACGACAGAGATAAGTCCGTCCATCTTCACCGCAACCAGGGACTATCAAGTTCCGGCAAGTTAGCAGTAGCACATCAAAAGCATGCGAGTCCCTTCTATACCTGTTTTAGAGTCGCACCGCCTCCGATTTCGACCACGACGTCAACTCCCTCCTCTCCTGGCGTAAGAGCCTGCGCTTGGGCACCCCAGTTCTCAACTTCGCGATAGTTAATGACATGGTCAGCCCCCATTTCTTGAAGCTTCTTGGCTTTTTCGGCTGAGGACGTGGTCGCAATGACTTTGGCGCCAGCTGCCTTGGCGAACTACAGTCCGAGTCAGTTTGATGTTCTTGGCTCTGGTTAATAGAGGCAACTGAGACTTACAAGGATAGCAAAGGTGCTTACGCCGCCAGTTCCCTGTGTGAGAACCCACTGTCCCGGGAGTAGAGGGCGACCTTGGGCACCAAACAGAGCGTTCCAGGCAGTCAGCCCTGCCACTGGCAACGTGCTACCCTCAATAAAGCTGAGGTTGCGTGGAAGAGCAATCGCGTATTGTGCTGGAATGACGACATACTCTTGGAGGACGCCATGATAAGCGTTTCCCAATAGCGCGTTGATGTAGTGCGGCTTCATCGGACCAGATTGATGTGCTCCGTTCATGATTGTCGTGACTCTGTCACCGACCTGAAAGTTCTGGATATTAGACCCGATGGCTATAATAACCCCAGATCCATCCGAGACGGGAACGACATCTTTCAAGGCATGTTCGAAATGGCCCTGAATGCATGTTAGTGTAAGCCGAGGCGGATGGGGATAAGGAAAAGCAAGGACAAACCCTGGTGGTGCCAACGTCGTGATAGTTCAAGGAAATAGCGTGGACTGGATTGACGTGAGCGGGAAAGAAAATGACCGGAACAGAGTCGATGACTTGAGCGATCTCTTACCCTTTATCATGACGTCGTTGGGCCCAAGTTGAGGGATAGGCGCCACCTGCATCTCAAGCCCCAATGGGCCATCGAATCGCTTAACCACCCACTGTGTCGATTTCTGCGGAAGGGACATGTTTGAAGTGAAGTTAAGGATATTTCTGTCTGGCTAAGGGCAATGGACAGGCTTCTATTTAAATACTTGACTTCATCCTGGGAATGTCGGCCGTCCCAGTTATTCCGAGACCAAGAACTCTTCCCGGTTAGCTAGTCCATGTCTCTCTTGGAAGCTCTGACGGCAGGGCAGGGTAGATTATCATTGGCCACGAGCCTGACGCTAATGCAACTTGCTTAGGTATGGGGACAAGTTAGTTCTGAAGCTGCAGGTGGCCTGATGCTAATGTAGCTTGCTTAGATTAAAAAGATATACGATAAATAACTAAGTTCTGAATAAAGCCCGAAGCGGCCAGAGCCCCGGGTTTATAATGGGTGACTATTATTGATTGGCCAAGAGCCTGACGCTAATGCAACCTGCTTAGAAATGGAGTGAGTTAGTTCTAATCCGAGCTCATCGTGGGTCCCCAAATTCTCGCCAGAAGTTTATCACAGACATCTCAATGGGGTGAAAAAGGAGCTTCCCTAACTTGGCGACATTCTCAGCTCTTGAATATGACGGAATCTAGTCCGCAACAAAACAATACGGCCATGAAATATCCAATTAACGTGGATGCGGTCCCTCTCATTAAGCTGAGTGAAATGGCACAGCGTAGAGAGATACGTACCGCAAGCGAGGATTGGACTGGCATAACAAGCAGTGCTGAGAGACGCAAGCTGCAGAACCGCCTCAACCAAAGGGCATATGGTGAACATTGGTTGACTTTTGGAAGCTGGGTACCTGCTTATACTTTGGGATTGCAGAAAGAAGAAAAGCGTCAAGACGATCGGCATCATTACATCTAAAGCAAGGCAGCAGACCGCGTTACGTTTTCATGGCCACAACAGATACGCCGGATGCGCCGGATGCGCCGGAACCACCATCTGCTCTTCAGTATCTGAATCTGATAAAACCTCCCGCAGGCTTCAAGCCTAGATCGGGGTGTCTACTGCTCCGCCCGGACGCCCAAGGCGCAATCCGCGAGTTCGTCAAAAAGGCCTATGAAGATTATGTGCTGGGTTGCCCGCAGCCATGGTACTTGTCAACTCTCATCCAGGTCAACGTCTTCAACGCCCTTGTACAGAATGGTATCGCATTGGGTTTCTCAGACCGTTGGCAAAGAAAGGGTGTCGTCTCTCCTTTCTCTATAATTGGACCAGTGCAGTCCTGTGATTCTTACCCGCTGAATCTTCAGCCAACAGCCTTGCAGAGGACTGTTCCCCATCATCCGTGGATTGACCTTTTCCCAATCCCCCAAATGAGGGATAATATCCTGCTCTCGCTCCGCCACCTGGATATGGATGAGCTATGCGGCGACCTGCTCGACGTTAAGCCTGGCTTGGACGGGAAGCCGAGCCTGATAGTCTGGGGAGACCCTTGGGACCTCCGTGGATGGGAGGCAACTCCTTTATTTTTACAGAAATGGGGGTGGATGCTAGAAGGATGTCGAGATATCCTTCAAGCTACTAATCACTGGCGTGAGAGCCGAGGAGAAGACAAAATACTCTTCTAGAGGGTAGACAATAAATTTGCATTATAGCGTTCCTTGTGATAACAGATAAATCTGACTCATTGGTTTATGCATAGAGTTCGCCATTTAAGCATCTCCCTGCCACCTGTCCTTACTGTCGAAACTTACATTCAATAGATCCCCACTGTCTCTTAGTAGCATGCCACCAACCGTCATTGATAAACCGCGGTAAGCACTTTCTGTATGTCTGAAACTCCGCATGCAGGTCCCCGTTGGCTGCTCGGCCACACTGCCAATCCCCCTCGCATTGAGGTTTGACATTGTACCAAAATCCGTTGCATATACCGAGAACGTCGGGCACGCCATCGGCGCCGATGTAATAGCGGAGGCCGTTTACTGGATGGTCGTCATAAGTGCAAAGAGATGCGTTGACGATGGCCAAGAAGGTTGCGAGGGTGGTGATAGCTGAGAACTTCATTGCTGGCTTTGAGATGTCAGATCAGCTTGGGTCAGAGTGGGGGAAACGTTATACATACTGAGTTGGAGCGTTATTTCTATAAAGAGAGATAGAGATGTGTTGTAGTGAGTTGGATGAGAAATGCTGAAGGGAATGGCTGGCTACTTATAGCTGCTGGACACAAGTTGCACGCAGAGGTGTGGACACACTGGTAACAGGATTTGACCACGAGAATGGTTGGATGAAACTATAATTGGTCTAGATTCTATTACAGGAAGTAACTGAGATCCGTAGCGTAGTATTAAACGGCCAATGCTAACTCAAGTTCCTCGTTCACAGGGACCCAGACCTCGAAAGACTGGCGGTCCAAGTCTCCATCCCAGAGGCGCAAGTGAGCCCTATGGTTTTCATAGCTATGCAGTTACAGATAATTACAGGCCATTCCCGAGCGGACGAATGAAGAGGCGTTTTGTACAGCTATCCCTGTATGTGAAGTTATAGATCAACCTCTACTACTGGAAATGCCAAGAAGAGGTAACATTGCAAGTGCTGAATGCTTATCACGAAACGAGAGAGACGGGCCGAGAACTACGTATCACGGTATACAGTCAGTTAGGACCTGCAAGGCCTATCTACCTGGTCTATTCAGTCCCAGCAACTATCATTCAACAGAGAGAAGATGCTGTTATTGTTGTCGCGGGGCCACTTGAAGGCTTGGCTCCCACCTTGTGGCTTCTTTTGCAGGCAATCCCAGCGTCAAGTAAGTGGTGTGAATCAACAGATCTTGCAGCATCTCCGCTGAAACGCGCGAAAATGAAGGTTTCTCGCAATATGGCATCACCCTATCTTCCCATGTTAGTTACAACCTCTGTTTCTTTGAGTTCAGACTTCGAATCTTCGTCTTGGGCTGGCGATTTCTGATTACGAGTGGTTGTGACATTATGACACCGATATTTTACCATTCTGTGACTGACTGGCAGTATATCCTTTGCCACTTGCAGAAAAAGAACACTCAGCTGGTCCTGTCATGGACTTGTTAGATTGCAATTCCAATCGCCATGTTATGAGATTGTTTAGTCTAGACACTGCCAAGGCGCAAGAGAATTTAAAAAGAATATTTGAGTTATTATTCCCATAAGTTGCAAAGAAGTATATCAAGTCTTGGAAGGAGATGGGGCTCTTGGCTATCGGTGATTTCGGGGTACAAACTTTAAATGACCTTTGCCTGCCATGATGTTACCTTCATGATGTGACATTTTGTGGAGACTCTTCAGTAGGTAGCTCACAAGCTAATGACAGAATTGGGTAAGACCTAGCGAGGCTGTCATAATAGCCAGGAAAGTTTCACGAAAGTTCTGGCCATTTATGACTGACTATTTATATCATCAAACTCTCAATTCTACCGGCTGTGAACGTGATAACCATCATACGAGTCGTTTTGACCCAGGATAAGTATCATACCAAATCGCCGTATCCAGGATATCAGCGCTGGATTCGGGGTTTAGTTTATACTGCGAACCATCAATCCAGAATTCAGAAGAACAGTGATAAAAAGGCTTCAATTCTGCTAATCATGAGAATCATGTCCCTCCCAGAAACTCTCAACTACTACTTATATTAAATATTTTAAAAATGCCCCAGAGAATTATTATCATTGGTGGTGTTGCGGGTGGTATGTCCGCGGCCACCCGTCTTCGGCGTCTCGATGAGTCAGCCATCATTACTGTATTCGAACAGGGAGCTTATACCGGCTTCGCCAACTGCGGCATCCCCTACGCGTTGGGTAAGGTTATTGAGCATGACGAGGAGCTGATCCTCCGCACACCGGATGACTTTAAGCAGCGATTTGATATCGATGTTCATCTTCACGCTGAAGTCGTCAGTATCAACCGTGAAAAACATTCAGTCAGTGTACGGACTGGAGGAGATGACTGCATTCGTCAATTTGGATACGACAAGCTTATCCTTGCCCAGGGTGCCGAGGCACTTCGCCCTTCATGTGCTGGGGCGGAATTGGACAACATTGCCACAATGCAGACAATTGCTGACCTCCAAAAGGTACATGATATGCTGTCAAATTGCGATGCAAAGCACATATGTGTGATTGGAGCCGGATTCATCGGTATCGAGGTAGCTGAGAACTTGCGAAAGCTTGGACTCGATGTTTCAATAGTCGAGTATGGGTCGCATGTCTTTCCGCCTATTGATGGCGAGATGGCTGAAATACTTCACTCAGAACTCCGTAACAACGGAATCCAGCTATTTCTGAACGAATCAGCCCAGAAGATCGATAAATCCCAAGTCATCTTATCTAGTGGATGCGTACTACCCGCTGACTTGGTGATTTTGGCTGCAGGGGTCAGGGCCAGAACAGGTCTGGCAAGGCAGGCTGGTTTAGTATTGGGCGCGACCGGAGTCAGCGTCAACACTCACATGCAAACCTCTGACCCTGACATATATGCAGTCGGAGATATGGTTGAGACACAAAACAATATCATGGAGAAGCCAGCAATGCTCGCCCTGGCTGGTCCAGCCAACAGACAAGGTCGAATGGCGGCTGACCATATCTGCGGCAAAGCGGTGAATTATCGTGGTAATGTTGGCACATCCGTCTGTCGGGTGTTTGGTCTCACGCTCGGCTTTGTCGGACTTTCGACTCAAGTACTCCGTCGACTTGGTCATGATCCTCTTTCGATCACGGTGCACCCCCCTGATCATGCAGGATATTTTCCAGGTTCACAAACAATGACTATCAAACTTGCCTTCCGGAAAGAAACAGGCCACATAATGGGAGTGCAGATTATAGGCAGGGGTGGTGTTGACAAAAGAATCGACGTTTTGGCGACAGCTATGCAGTTTGGCAGCACGGTCTTTGATCTCGAGCATCTTGAGCTGGGATACGCACCACCATATGGCTCGGCAAAGGATGCAGTCAATATGGCTGGCTTTGTGGCATCTAATGTTCTTCGTGGAGACTGTAAGATTGTTCAAGCTGAACAGCTTACTAGAGAGAAACTCGACAAACTGCAAGTTGTGGATGTCCGCTCCCCGGAGGAATTTGCTCATGGTCATCTTCACCAGGCAGTCAATCTCCCGCTCAACGACCTAAGGCAACAGTCGGGCACCCTGGATAGGTCAAGACCAACTATGGTATACTGCCAAGTTGGTTACCGCGGCTATTTGGCTTACTGTATTCTCAGACAGTTCAGGTTTGATGTCGTTAATCTGGACGGGGGCTTTAAAATAGTAGTTCAAGGAGGATATCAATCGCTGTATAGCTGAAGTCTGCTCTCAAGTTGCCTTTACTAAAGAGTAGTGGTTGCTCTTATACACTCCGCTTTTTGCACCCTGGACCATACCTCTTTGCACCAAACCAATTGCGGTGGCTTTTTTAGGTACATCAGTCTTCATAGCTTATGCTCACCTTTGCACATATGTTCCTCGTACTCCAGGTCAGGCTGGCCCTCCCAGTGTAAGGTCTCTGGGTCACTCGAGTTCTCAAAGATGTACTTTACACTCGCATCAGAATGAGGACCTTGGGGATGGCGTTGGCCGCTGCAGCCTCAGCAAGTAACTGGCATTGACTGGCCCGCTCCACGAGAGTCATGAGGAAGCACGCCCCATCAACTTTCGCACCAGTCGTAAGGAGACCATGATTTTGAAGAATCATAGCCTTGCCTTTGGGTAGTATATACTGTTGTTATTACCAATCGTGGTGAAGGAACACAGAATCTCCGAACATGTCTAAAGCAGCACCGATCTTGTCACCTTCTTCTTGAGTGACGACGACACCTCCGAAGTCCTATACATCATTAGAATAAAATAAACAAGCACATAAGATCAAACAAAAACACGATAGACAGCCTGGCCATCACCGTAAAGGTACACAGCGTCTTGTGTGATCGTTTTTATTGGTCGCCCAAAGACACTCCATACCATGCCATGCACGCTGTGGGTATGGCATGCGGCGACAACATCTGATCTCAAGATAAGACTGGCTCTACTACAGCGAACTGAGTTTCACGGCTTCCAAAACGACCAAGGTATCCAGTCACTTTGTCTGCCCAACTGGGCCAAGGCAAGTCGGCCGACCCTGGGGGAGGTTAGGTCTTGACAGTGTGGACTATCGTGAATCTAGAATGAGCTATTATAATACCTCATAAACCTTGTTTTCTTCCGTGAGTGCCAAGGCGTATCGGTAGTGCAAGCACAGGTCGTCCACCCTGCCATCCTACCCAACATTGTCAGATCCTTTTAGGCAGCATAACCAACTATTACAAAAAATAATAATTTAATAATAATTTAAAATAGACAAATATCTATATTTCAATAAAAGAAATAATCTCTACCTTGTTATCTTTTATTAAAAAGCTTAACCAATATGTCTGTAATCGACAGATCTAAGTTGCTGAGAAGACTTTGCCCCGGTGATCAATTTCAAAGTGGCAACCGGCTGTTGACCTTGAGCGCATTCCCGGTTCATGCCAATGGTTTCTCGATCATCCAAAGCTCAAAGAATGGCTTTCAAAGGCTTCTTCCGGCCTACCTTGGCTTCAAGGGCCATCCGCGACCGGAAAGACGCTCCTATCCTCCTGTCTCGTCTATCACATTCGAACAAATCGCGGAACAGTTGGCCACGCAGCGGTAGCCTGTGTCTACTTCCAAGAGAGGCACAAGCAGTATGATGTTGCCGACTTCAATCACGCTTTCGCTTCGGTTCTAAGACAGTTAGTGTCACAATTGCCTGACACGTCTGATACTCTACGGAAACTAGAGCTGGCAGAATATGATAAGATTCCACGGCTATGGGGAGATGAATTTACCCGACTCCTGCACAGGATTACTGGCGAGCTTGGCAAGGTGTTGATCATCCTCGATGGAGTCGCAGCCGATGTCACTACCAAAGCTTTGACATACCTAATACTCGCAATCAATCCAGACGGCGGTTCCGATCAGATAATCCAAGTACTCTTCACTAGCCAGGCCTCACCTCCTATAGACTTCAGTACATTGCACCAGATCGTTTAAACCCAAATTTGTGCCTCTGATGCGGACGTGACAAAATACATCATCAGGGCACTTCAAAGCATCTCCGGTAAAGACTTGTCCTCAAGCCATTCTGAGTTTCTTAAAGGCCTGGTTCGAACATTTGACGGCCGGTAAGTTTCTAAGATTTCAAACTTTAGGTATATGCTTTGCGACAAGAGGCTAATATCCTTCAGCTTTCTTCCTGTTCCTACTTGGCCAAGCGAGATGCCCATGCCGGAGTTGCTGGCAGCCATTGATCAAATTACATCCGCCTGCAAAGATGTATCGATTCATGACAAGGCCGATACTTTCAGTAAAGAAAGTTTCCTGAGAATCAGGGCTTCTCAGTCAGAAATGGTTCTTTGCATTCTCTATCATGCGGCTATGGCTGCTGACGCCGGCTACTCAATGACGATGCCCATGGCAGTCGAGGCGTTGAATGCATGGAAAATCTATCGTCAAGACCAGGATAAGAAACCTTTCCAACTTGTAGACGTTGTCTAGGGTTGCCGCGGTCTCATCATCTGGGGCGAGAATGACCAGTCGTTCCGCATTCGATCTCCCCTTCTTGGCGACTACCTCAAACGTGAGGTCTTTGGGACCAACTACGATAAGCGATGGGTCACCACTTCACCCCGCTATCTATCATCTGACATTTTCGCAAATGGCGCCTGCAGATCGTCTGCTGCTCTCAAACAATGCTTCCGGGAATATGTACCTTTGGTTTGCAGCGGGATTCCTCGGTTTGGGGTTGGCCAAAGCTGTCCCGGAAGCACTTGTGCAAGACTTCAGACAGCTTTCGTCTCGAAGAAGATCAATCAAGTCATATCAGCAGGCAGCTGAAGCAAATCCCTTTGAAAACGAGACCAGTTATGATGAACTTGAGGAATATCACGAGCGCTGAGGTGTTTGCCAAGGACGACGATGCAGGCGATACGCCCTTGGTTAAAGCCGTCATACACGGGGGCTCTGCCTCTGTTAAGTTTCTCTTGGGGAATGGTGCTCAGATCAGTGAGCTTAATGAAGGTATTCTTAAGCAGTGTAGACAAGAGAACCCAGATGTTGTGGTCTATCTGCAGGAGCTAGGCATCGACGTTCTAGCTGCTGATGAGATTGAGGCTGAGGATTGAAGTAGTAACCAAGTTCAATATAACCAATCTGTTATTAACCTCTTTTTTTTTAACCTATATATGCTAATGCTTTTGACTTCTTACATTTATTTTATTCTTATTATAAATTACCTCTTTGCCTTTCATTCAAGGCTTAAGGTATTATGTTATAAGAGAATATAATATAAAAGTAGTCATAATATCCAATAATATATATAAGCCACTTTTAAGTAGTTAAGATAGGACTAAGAGTAAGTAATATGAGTTGATTAAAGGTACATAAGTATTAGTAAAATTACTAGCTTATAAATAGTAAAATATAAACTATAACCAAGGTATAGATTCTATAATAATATAATATAATATAATATAATTAAAGATTTATTAATTTAATTTAATATAATATATTTCTTAAAATCACTTAAATATGTATCATAATAAAATTAATAATAAAATCTTATCAAGTTACCTGTAAGGGCCTTTCTTTAGTAATGGCCCCCTTTAGGCTTCTGATACTATGAAAGCTAAAGAGGCAGAATATAATAGCAAGGTTCTTAAAGGGGAATACTTTAAAACACATATAAGCAAGGTAGCAGTAGCCATCCCAGGCATAACACCAAGTGAATCTGGATACAAGCTCCTATCCAAGCTTTTTGCAGGCCTATCAGAGCCTACACGCTGTTCATTAACAGATTCTCCGACCACTCGGCGATCTGACCGCGAAACATGCACGGGGCTCGCATGGGCACAAACGCGCGTGAGATCCTTTTGACAAGGCGGACTGCGTTTTTGGCGCCAAGGTTACACTGTAATTGCAGAGGGGTTTAGGTGTGGATGGTCCCCGTTCATCTAACTGGCTGTGCCTGAGCAGGGGAGCCCACCCCCGGAGCACCGTGCCGCTCAACCACTATCAGATAGTTGTGGGGGAGAAAAGGAGCATTAGCCTCCGACACCCGCTTCTGGAAATAACGGGAACTTGCACACATTGGGTAATACAGCAATGTTAGGTGAAGGGAGCGCGTCGACACGAGGCTCACCGAATATACGGCAGAAGTACGAGCGTAAGAGCATACGAGCTAATGAACCCGAAATGCCAGTGTTTTATAAATGTTGTTCGGCTCTTGTAGAATGAAGGACTCTGAGTTTGTTTGGGATAGAGGAATCTTTTCCGTCGCAGATTGATGGTAAGCATTCTGGGATGACTTACAGACGACTTAGATGCACGGCCCGGGTCTCCGTCATCTAGAAGGGAAAGGCACAAGGTTCGTTCCGTCCAACATGGACCCCTGCAAGGGCACATCCCATTTTGCTTTCTTCCAGCGCCCAATGTAGCACCTAAATACGGCAACGGTCCTTGGTCATTTTCGACTGCGTTTTGGCTGATCATGGCTCTCATTGGTATATGAATGCGGCCTCTGCCGTGTTTTTCGAGATCAAGGTTACGCAGATTCTACCCACGGCCTTCAACAATCGTCGACTAGGGATTCGTCATTATGGTTTCCCACCGCTCTTTATGGCTTCTGGCCCTAGCACCTCGTGAGTCTGAATATGTTCTTCGACAGTTTTGGAGTGCTGACCTTGAGAAGTTACCCAGTATGTGTCTGCTCAGCAATCAACACCAGCACCTTACACCGATCCCGGCACTGGGATCGTGTTCGACACATGGACCGCATCCCGCATGACTTTCGGTTTCAGTTTCCCCGAAAATGGACAGACCACGAACGCCGATGAGTTCATTGGATACCTCGTAAGGCAATATTCGAAATCAATAGCTCTTCTTTTCTGACCATGTAAACAGAATTGCGCCACTCCCAACGGGGAGGGCACTGGATGGTGCGGTCTCTCCTACGGCGGACCCATGACAAACTCGCTCTTACTCTTTGCCTACCCTCACGATGGCGATATCCTTACCGCCTTCCTTTGGGCCAACGCCCAGGTTGAGCCTGTCCCGTACGAGGGCGAGGCTGTTCTGACCCAGATCTCTTCCAGCATCACTGAGGATGGCTTTACTCTCATCTACCGCTGCCAGGGATGCACTTCCTGGTCACAAGACGGAAACTCCGGTCAATTGGCGACCACCTCTCCGGTCGCCGTTCTCGGTTGGGCCCATAGCATCACGAATGTGATTAACCCTGAGTGCCCCCGTGAGGCCCGGATGGTCCAGCACGAAACCCAGAGCATCTTCGGTGGCCAACTTACCAGCAACGCTTTTAATAATGAGTATGATAAGTGGGCTAAGCTCGCCACTAAGGTTGTCGAGGGCAACTGCGACGGCGGTGGTGAGGAGCCCACTTCCACCGCCACCGGTGAGCCTACCTCCACCGCTGCACCACCCACCGGTACCCCCGTCCCGGACGAGACATACGACTACGTTGTTGTCGGTGGTGGTGCTGGTGGTCTCCCCGTCGCTGACCGTCTCAGCGAGGCTGGCAAGAAGGTCCTTCTCATCGAGAAGGGACCTCCATCCTCTGGCCGTTGGGGCGGTACCCGTAAGCCAGACTGGCTTGGAGGCACCAACCTGACTCGCTTCGATGTTCCCGGTCTATGCAACGAGATCTGGGCCGACTCTTCCGGCATTGCCTGCCCCGATACCGATCAGATGGCCGGTTGTGTTCTCGGTGGAGGCACCGCCATCAACGCTGGTCTGTGGTGGCGTCCCAATCCAAAAGACTGGGACTTCAACTTCCCCGATGGCTGGAAGGCCAAAGATATGGTCAAGTACGAGGGGCGTGTCTTCGGTCGCATTCCTGGTACACGTGTCCCATCTATGGATGGAAAGCGATACCTCGACCAGGGTTTCAAGGTTGTCGCTGGAGCACTCGACCAGGCCGGTTGGGACGAAGTGAACGCTCTTGAGAAGCCGGCCGCGAAAAACCGTACTTATACCCACCCACCCTTCATGTTCTCCGGAGGTGAGCGCGGGGGCCCCCTGGCTACCTATCTCGTCTCTGCCAAAGCGCGAAACAACTTCAAGTACTGGACCAACACCCAGGTCAGGCGTGTCGTTCGCTCCGGCGGTCACGTTACCGGCCTTGAGGTCGAGCCCTTCGCCGGCGCCGGTTATGTCGGCACTGTCAAGCTCACTCCCGAGACTGGTCGCGTTATTCTTGCGGCTGGCACTTTTGGTAGTGCTAAGATTCTCCTTCGCAGTGAGTCTTGTCTTATCCGTAGGCTGTCAGAGTTTGTTGGTTCTAATCATGCTTCATAGGTGGTATTGGCCCGGATGACCAGCTCAAAATTGTCGCCAACTCTAGCCGCGATGGTGGCTCCATGATCGCCAAAGATCAGTGGATCAACCTCCCTGTCGGATACAATCTCGAGGACCATACCAATGTAAGTGCATATGACAGAGTCATCAGATTGTCCGGCTAACAGTATGGTAGACCGACACAGTTATAAAGCACCCCGACGTTGTGTTCTACGACTTCTACAAGGCCTACGATGACCCTATCCCAGCTGATGAGAAGAAGTATCTGGGTTAGTATGCATGATATTCTGCAACTTAGCTATCAAGGCTAATTTGGAGGTAGATGAGCGCTCCGGCATTCTCGCTCAAGCTGCCCCTAACATTGGCCCGGTCATCTTTGACGAGATTTCTGGTGCTGATGGCCGTGTCCGATCCATGCAGTGGACCGCTCGTGTTGAGCCCAGTCTCGGCGAGACTAGCAACAGTAAGTACCACTTGACAGTTGGTGCAATGTATCAGACCAGACCTAACTCGTGAATCAGAGTCCATCACCATTAGCCAGTACCTCGGCCGTGGTGCCAAGTCACGTGGTCGCATGACCATCACCAGTGCTCTCAACACTGTCGTCTCTGGTAACCCCTACCTAAATGACCCAGAAGACAAGAAAGCTGTTGTGACTGCCCTTGACAACCTTCGTGAAGCTCTTTCCGGCGTCAAGGGTCTGGAGTGGCTCCAACCCGCTCCTGATGTCACCTCGCAGCAATACGTCGATGATGTAAGTGGTCCATGAATCTTTGATGGTGTTCAAGGCATGTTCTAATGGTATATACAGATGGTCGTCTCATGGAGCAACCGCCGTGCCAATCACTGGATTGGAACCAACAAACTCGGCAAGGATGACGGTCGCCAGGGCGGTACTGCCGTCGTTGACCTTAACACCAAGGTCTATGGCACCGACAACCTCTTCATCACTGACGCTTCCATTTTCCCCGGCATGGTCACCACCAACCCTAGTGCCTACATCGTCACCGCCGCCGAGAGGGCCAGTGATGCTATCATAGCCCTTCCCGTCTCCAAGGCCCAGGGGCAGTACCAGCAGTGCGGTGGCATTGAGTGGACTGGGAACATGCAGTGTGGCAAGGGCTTCTACTGCAAGACGCTCAACCCCTACTACTCTCAGTGCTACCCTGATGCCTAATGACAAGGTTGATAGGGACTGCACTGCATTAGGCAAATCACCCCATGTATATACTTTCATCACAGTTCTGGCATCTTGATACATAATGGCAGGCCCTCGACTAGTAACATCGACTGAGAATCCTCTGCGTCTTCGTGGCATTCACTCTATCATCCCGTGATTAATCGACATAGGCTGTGTGCGTCAGCAGTCCCTTACCCGACGCGGTAATGTCCATACGCACCTCATTTCGATCTAGACCTCGGCTTCGGGTCCTGGTTACCTGCGGTTCGTCCAAAAGTTACGCTAAATACACTTAGAAACAAACGTGCCAAGTGACCTTAGATGATTATTGCTACCTCACAGTCGAGTATCAAGATTGGAGGGTCACGGTGCTATAGAGCACGGCCACGAGTCATTATCCAGCCAACAGCGTGTAAGATACATCAGACACCGATACTACTTTGGCCAGCACTCCTGCAATACAACTAATAATGGTAGATGCATAATCCCCATGAGGGGACAGTCGCACGCTTAGTGGAGCCTCGGAGGCTGCTCGCCCGCGTTTGGCAGTCTCCTTTCGGCAGCCCTCGGAGGCATGATCTTCAGTGCCGATTGCCAAAAAAGGATGTCATTTAGACTCGGATGCTATATCATGGCCTTGCTCTCCGCAGAGGAGGCGTTGGAACGTAGTGGGAGTGGTTAAGAGTGAATGCAGTGTGGCTGCAAGAAGTTCGTTAATCCGAGGGGGGTGCCCCCTCCGATCTCTTTTAGGTATTTTTACACCATTCATAGCCCGGCTTCTAACGACATCGAGCCAAGAACAAAAATGGTCTACGTGACATAATTGAGAAGGCGAGCTATTTAATTTTTAGAGAAACCTCGAACTGCTTACTGCCACGTTAGGTTCTTTTAAAATTACCGACAAAGCGGTATCCAGTAGCACTAAGGCTTTTTGCGCTAAATCTTCAGCTACAGGAAACTATAATAAACTATTAGTTTTAGAATGGTCTAGCCAAATTGGCGCCTTTGAATAAAGGAGAAAATAAGCATAAAAAGTTTTGAACTCCCTTTGCTAGTACTTCTTCCCCTTCGCCTTTTCGGTTTTCGATTTGATTCTTCCGCTCTCTCATGGCAGTTATGCATTTGGCACTTCTCTTGTCCCTAGCCTTTGGGCTTGAATCTGTGGTCGCTAGTCCTTGCAAGCCACAATCTTCCAGTAAGTTTATTCGTAACACTACTTATTCAAGTCACTGATAACCCAAATCAGCTATCGCGACTACTACTACTACCACAGAAACTCTGGGGCTATCTTCAACATGGGCGACAGATACCACGAAAGCGACTGAGCAGTCAGACTCGACGACAACAACCTCTCTCGCGATTTCAGAGTCCACTTTCTCTTCTAGCGTTAGCTCTTCAGCACTATTATCAGATACGACGGCGTTGAGCGAGCAGATGGAGTTAACAGGAACAACGACGATTGCAATCTCCGAGTCTACCTCTGTAGCTGATCTTGGATCTACGACCTTGGTCGCATCGTCTGATATTTCTGTAACGACATCAACTGAGGTCACCACTACAGTGGTGTCTGAGTCATCTATTTCAACATCTGCTGAATTGACGTCTTCGGTCGATGCTTCAGTCACAACATCAGCCGCCGCTTCAACAACCACAACGATCGAGTCTACAACTGACTCCACGGTTTCTTTGACACAGATCTCTACTGATACAACACTGGAGGCAAGAACAACGACTACCACCGAATCACCAACTTCCACAACAATTGTTGACGAAGTCTCTACTTCAACTGCCAAGACAACAACCGCTCTCCTGCCCATTCCGACTCTGTTCTCCTTAACTGTTCAAGGCGGCGCAGCAAATGGCTTGGTTCTACATACAAATGGTCAACCAGAGTACTCTGTGATGATAGGTGCCTTCTTGACTTGGCCAACTGGTCAGTTTAAATACGAAGAGGGCACTGGTCATATATTAGTTGATGGAAACCCTTTATGCACTGTGTCCTATCAGGGGAACTTCGACTTTGTTTCAGTGATAGTTTGTCCTACTACTTTGTCATTCTATCACGCGCCCTTGGTCTGTGATCGACCGACTGGCAGCAGCCTCAAGTGTAGCGTGGCTGCGAAGCTTTTCACCTGCATCACGGACAACGGTGGAACCCGTACTTGCACGACTACAGATGTCTCTTGGAGTAATATGTATTCTGCGCCTTGGGTGAACGGAGTTTATCAGCTCAGGTTTGCTGCTGCTGACTGGGCTCATGATAGTACGGTAAATCCAATTGGTCTACTGGTCTCGCCGTTCTAGATTTAGAATACTTTCATTATTAATTACTGTAGTACAACACGCCATTCAATAGATACAAACAACGATATGTTTATAATAGTCTTATGATTTCAGAGGCGAGTTCAGTGAACTTACTATGGCAATAAACCCTCACCCTTTTATCACCGATGTTATTAATATTACCTATATGGATTGTTACCTGGCTTACCCTGCAGGTAGATCCCTGGCAGAAGTAGAACCGTATTACTTAGATTATATAATATCTCTAACTTAGCTAGACCTTACGTTATATGGATTAAAGAAGCTGAAAGATGCAGAAAGATATGCTAAGGTAAGACTAATCTCTTAAGGTAAAAGAGGTAGCTTTCCTTGCTGTATTTACAGATTTAGCCTGGTATAAAGAGTGGCTTAAGAATATAATTATAAAGTAAGTACTTTATATTCTCCCTCTTATATAAAAGTAAGGATAAATATTTAGTAAAGGCAAGGTTAAAAGATTTAAAAGAATTATATTAATTATTTTATAAGTTAATTAATTAAACTAAAGTTAATCTCTATTAATTAATTATATATATAAGAATAAGTTAAATAAATTAAAATTAATAAAAAACTAATAATTAAAACTAAGAAAAGTTATTTTATTATATTCTAAAAAGTTATTAGATATTAAAATAAAATATTAAAATAAAATATATTTTTATTAAGTTCTTAATATGTAATATAATTAATTTATAACTATATTATATATATCTTATAGATTTTATAAGTCCTTATTATCTTATTTTTTCTAATAAATATTATTTACTAAAATATAAATATTAATTAAAGTAAATATAATAACCTTAAATTGAAAGCTAATTAAATTTAAGTTTAAGGTAATCTTAAAGTTATATTAGTGTTTTAAGAATATTATTAAGGTTAATATAAAAAGGAGGCCTAATTATTCAATTAAATAAATATATAATATATATTTTATTTTTAAATAAATTTAATTATTAAAATATAAGTCTTTATTAATTTAAGAAAAGGTAAATTAGCTTAAGTAGAAAAATATAATCTACTTACCCTGAACTCTGTAATAATAATATATCTCTTATATAGATTGCGAATTTTATCTATTTTCTCTGACATGCTCACGCTCTAATGTCACGTAGCGTGATACGCATAAAGGGCAGGCATAATGCCGCCTTAGGTACCATAAAGTAATACAACCCGAATGAAATATATGCCTGCACGGTAACCAACGGATAATATCACTATCCCCTATTGCTTCCAAGCATATAGCGCTATTAAGAATCATTAGCTAAAGATGAAACTGCCTATTAGTTTATGTATTCCTTACCAAATGGTCACCTCATAGGGACACGTAGAATGCTCCTCTGAGCCTGTAATTTCCCTTCCTGTCGTCACTTGCTTATATGCCTGCGGTGGAGCTGTGGAGTCCAACCGCTGCAAGTCGCTAATCTCAGAACTTATACTCCTTGCTGGCAGATCGCTCTCAGAATCCCCTTGGATCGGGATCCGGTTGTTCCTCGACTTAAGTCTTTGCAATAATTAGCTTTTGAAACAGAGGTTTCGAGACTTGTTGGTGGGAAATGGCATACTCGTATAAAATAAGAAGGGCATAAAAGACGAAAAGAAATATAAAAAAAGAAATAATAGGCAGCGATTGGATCCATTCCTCTGACTTGATGCATCCAGGGCTTATCATAGGGATATGGGATACATTCGCTATCGCCATGATGGCTCACGACTTTTCAAGGCTTTCTATGCTGACCTTGGGGAGAGCCTGTCGCGTCGGAAGTCTTTATTTAAAGCCACACGCAGCTTGAAAGATATGCTGCCATCAGGCGCGCTTGGTGTAAACCTTTTGGGTCAGATCATACTGAAGATTCTGGCTAGTGAACTTAGAATAGTGACATGATCACACCACTTCAAGCTCCAGAGTGCGAGGGAAGCATTAGTATCGGAAAGGAAGCTCCGGCTTCGAGCGCCTATTAGAGGTTAAAAATCAAGTGGTGTTAAGTTCTTGGTTATCCTGTCCCTAAATTAATTCATTAATCAAAGAAAAAGGTAAAGCTCTATTAATAATTATATAATTATCTAAAGCACTACACTATAACCCAGGTGTAATCGAATAGACAGAATATACTCGTTTTGTGTCGAAAATGGTTTGATCGGCTCCCTGTATGTAACATGGCCTGCGCAAGCAGAAGAGGTTAAGCACAGAGTAAAGAGTAGCTTCTATTCAATCCCAAAGTTCTGTTACTAAGCGCTATAATGAAAGTGAATTCAAAGGTTAGCACTACCGCATAGGTGTCTGTTTTGGGATCTCTTGCCGAGGTAGCCGGGCGAGGTATAGGTAGTCATTTTCACATTGCTGGTCATCCACTTAGTATGTAAAATAATGTAATCAAGAAAGGAAGCCATTGGTACAAGTCACTCGGGGATGATGTTAGTGAGGTCATATATGTGTAACGTCCAAATTCATCATGGCATCATATGGCAGTCCATTGGACGCCTCCGCACGCTATGCCAACTATAAATCTCCCCGCAGCAGCTTCAGATGACCTTGAAATGAATGAATTCATAGCCATTGCAACCGGCCCAAAATAATTCAACATGCTGGCTCGGACCATTATCTGGCGTGCTGGACGCGGGGTGCTCTATCAGCTGCATCGAAGAACGTATGTCTCGACCGCACTGACTCCGGAGCAGATCAAAGTCGTTCAATCGACCATCCCCGCACTGGAAAAACACGGCGTCGAGATCACAACGCTCTTCTATCGCCAGTTGCTAAATAAACACCCTGAGCTCAAGAACATCTTCAACACTGCCCATCAAGATACAGGCGAGCAGCCAGCCGCCCTCGCGCACGCCGTGTGGGCATATGCCGCCAATATTGAGAACCCTGATGCCATGAAGGCAGCCATTTCCCGCATTGGACATAAACATGCGAGCTTGGGAGTTACTGCAGACCAATATACCATCGTCGGCCAAGGGTTACTCTCGGCGATCAAGCAAATCCTCGGGGACGGAGTTAATTCAAAGGTCTTGGATGCTTGGGAAGCTGCATACCGCCAACTCGCCGAGTATTTCATTAATTTTGAGGAAGGATTGTATCAAGAGGCCATGGCGACACCCGGCGGCTGGAAAGGATGGCGCAAGTTCTTCATCTCTGACAAAGTGAGAGAGAGCGAGGAAATTATCTCATTCCATCTCACGCCAGCCGACAAGGGAGCCTTGCCATCCTACAAGCCTGGCCAGTTTGTCAGCATCCGATGCTTTATGCCTGAGCTTGGGGCATACCAGCCCCGGCAATATAGTCTATCTGACGTGCCAAATGGAAAGTATTTTCAAATTTCCGTTAAAAGAGAATTTGCATCGGATATAAAACCGGCCGGCCGAGTATCCAATGTTCTTCACGATTCGCTGCCGGAGGGGTCGGAGGTGGATATCAGCATGCCATTTGGTGATTTCGTCTTGGACATCAACAATACAGCGCCCGTGGTGTTTATTAGCGGAGGAGTCGGACTGACACCTATGATGGCAATGCTGAAGAAGATAACGGAGGAAGGAAAACCGAGGAAAGTGGTGTTCATCCATGCTGCACGCAACTCACGAGTCCATGCTATGAAAGATACCCTTATCGAGATTGTGAGAGACCATCCGGAAGTCACCCGCCTTGTTTACTATGAGCGGGTTGAAGAAGACGACATACTGGGGCTTGATTACGATCACGAGGGGCGCGTGGACCTTGCAGAGGTTAAGCATAAGGTGATTCTGCCAGAAGCGAATTACTACATCTGCGGGCCACGGCCGTTTATGAATTCACAGAGCAAGGCACTTCGGGATTTGGGTGTTGATGAGAAACACATTCACATGGAGGTATTTGGGTCGCCAACTTCCTGATGCTATATGGAAGTTTCCCCTTATCTACAACAGTTTAACTTTTAACTTAACCCCGCAATTCCAACTATTCCCTGGCCAGGCTATCGCGACATTGCCAAGCCTGGTTCTCACACTCCTGAGTTCACGACTGGTTGCGCTCTGGCAGATTGTTGCGTCGGTTATAAGTACCCAAGCCCCAGCACTGTTTTCTTTGTCATGCCATTAGTAGTATAAAGTCAGAATTAGTGTCTCTCATTGTCTTTCTGCTACGTGAACTTGAGCGATTATCGTCACGGGACTGAGGTACTCTAATGTGTTCTCTATTGGTGACGATACTTCAAATGATCTGATCGGACTGATTGATCGATGTAAGACTGCTAGTCCTGTTAAAGGGGAATGTCACTTATTGTCACGGGTAGATCAATATCTGGGGTCTATGCCATTGCGGATCATGATAATCCTCATTTGGATCAGGCCATTAAGTTCCCAATCTACAAGCCTTCCAGTAATCTGCGCAAATGGTTTGACAAGATAAGCAACTCTGCTTACGTGATGCTGAAGAGGTGAAGTTGCAAGATGTCGTAATTTGCAATGAACGAGGAGTCTGATCACTGGACTCTGTGTAAACGCCGACAATTTGACAGTTTGATCTGATACTTCACATTAGCAGTGACTAAAAACAGAGATAGTGCGACAACAATTCTCAATAGAGGGGGTTCATTGACTGTTGTGCAGACGCAAATGCAACTCTACCCCCTGGTCAGTGGCTTTTCAAAGGGTCTGGATCTTGGCTCTTCGGTACCTTCTTGGCTTTATAGCTCTTTCAGATGATGATCCAGTTATTCTGTCCGATCGATGCTCTTAACTTGTGAAAGAACTAGCAATGAGATACGACAAACAAACTCTCTGCCAAGCTTAACAGCAAGTTCATAACAGGCAAAACCCTCGACCGAGGTAGAGGGTTACCATGACTGACTTATCCAGGTTCTCTACTGCACAAAATCTAGGCTATTTCTAGTCAACATCGACATCTGTTAAGCAAAGTAGATTATTAATTCATTATGCCTTGCATACATCAGTCTACTTTTTGTAAGCTTTAGTAACTGGGGTAGTTTAACAGAATGCCCAGTTGTAAATGTTATCATATCCTTATCGCTCAATCATTCGTCACAAACATTGCCAGTCCAAGAGATAGACCATTCTTAAAATGGTCGAGAAGACTTTACAGCAAAATGTTAGCAGCTTTTCCTGGGCGCTCATCGCCTTCGGCCGGCTGCTAATTGACGTTTCAGATGTGGCTTCGTGTACAAAAACCACAATGGCCAAAGTTCTGTTCTCGAACGCTACAGTAACAGGTTGTTACATAAGGTTGTCGAATTCGGCATTGCTCAAGGGGGATTTTCAATTGTCATGCCAAACTAGCTTTTCATTGCAGACTAAATCGTGACGCGGCTAACATATGTTTCTTAAAATTTCTAGGCTGTCTACAACATCTCTCTCTGATCTTCCTTTATACATACTTTTTCATCCAGGATATACCTTGTCCACTCACTTAACTATAACTGATTCCTTATAACTTCAGCATATACCATGCTAAACCTCGTGAAACACATGTACATTGTCGGCAATGCGCGTTCCTTATAGTGCACCCCATGGCATTATAGCCAATCTGTTTCTCAGTGAGCCTATTGAAGCCTGAATGTGTATTGCAATCAAATTGCATCCCTGACAAAGACGGATATCATAAACATGAGATGCATTCGATAGCCCACCAAAGTCAGAAAAATCCAAAGGGTGAGGTCTCATCACTTCTTCCAGCCCAAGGTCCAGATAACATGAGCAATGTCACGGGCGGTTTTCACCGTATCTATGATACGGCCAAGAATGCCGTCCGCCGATGGTAATCCTTCCTCCTCATACGGCATGAGCATGCCAGAAGAAGTTATTCGCATGCCCACCGGCTCTTCACAAAGACTGTTCGAAGTGAGCCACGAGGGAAGGCCGCTGGTAGTATTTTCAGCGGGCGATGGTGGCCAGCTCTTGCAGGGGCTCAGCCGTGCATCGTCGACACTGTCTTGGTCCCTTTCCTCGACAACAAATATTTGGGTCTGCTTAGCAGGTCGATGATTATCCTCTGACGAAGAGGGCATGAATGGGCTTCGAGAGTGCTTGCTAGCCGTCCCTCCTTGTTCTGGATAGTCTTCCCAATTCTTGATAGTAGTGGACGGGAGCATGGCAATTGTTTTTCCTTCAGCTAGCTTTGACTCTGGAGTGTCCCGTTCAAACAACGGCCACGTCCTTGTCTTCCTGCACTTCACCATCACGCCATCGTCTGGATCACTATCATCATTGTGGATTCCTTCAACTTCGACAGCAATGCATTGCTCGACTTGTTCGTTGAAATGAGTGCGCTTCCGCTCGCCATTTGGGGATATAGTTCCAGAAGACTCTGTGACTAGAGTGACACTGCTGCTTGCACTATCCAGTTGACCTCGAGAAAATGGTAGATAGAGATCCTCGGTTGATAAAAAGCTTATATGAGTGCAATCTCCGGTCTCCTGCATTTTACCAGCAGCTCTAGCTTGCTTGGATATCGAAGCTGTTGATAACGATCGTTGTAGTATTTCTTCGGACATGCTCCGCTTCTTTAGGATTGGCTTCCTATCGAGTTTCACATGTGAATCGGTTTTGGGCAATGGTACCTCGGACAGCTCGTTCTGGGTGGTATCAAAGGGATTCGGTACCGAGTGTAGAGGACCATAAAGCCAGGTTACATCGTGGTCCTTGAGCCTTAGAGAGATGTAAGTATTTAAATCAGACATCATGTCTAATCCCAGGAGTACAAACCAATTGAGCGTCTCGGGAGAAATTGTTGTTAGGTCATATTTGGCCTTAATCCACGTTCTCCAAACAGCATTTTCTAACCGTTCGCTGTCAGACAAATCTCCTCGGCGCATCACAACGTAACGCCACGAGGACCAAATATCCTCCTCCCGCCAATCATGGGATAAGTAGTCAACCTGGTGCGAGGGCCTGCTAGAGACAGCCATGTCATCTTTGGTACACTCGCTATCTTCAGGTGCACCAGGTCTTAGGATGCCGTTAGAGAGTTTTGAAGTTGCGTGATCCTCGGTAGAGATCGTGTAAGAGCTGCCACTTCGGAAACTTGAGAATGTCTCTCGGTTATTATCAGTGTCAATTTCCTCATGGAAGTAGGACTTTTCTTGTGCGATAGAAGAAAACATGGCGTTGCATTCAGGTGACCTTGTAAGGTCAAGACCGTCGTCGTAGTCTCGGGCACAGGAGGGATTGGTTGAAGGGGTAAATATGAATAAGAGACGGGCTTATTTGACGTGGATGGCCCTGGGAAGTAGAGTCAACGGGCAGCTAGGGATGGGATTGTATAAATGCCAATATAAAAGACGAAGGAAAAGGCAGAAGACTGCAAAATGGCGTTCGGCTCAAGCAGGCGCGTCTCGGTGAGTCCTGTCTAAGCAACTGTCATTGCGGGAGGGGAGAATAACGGCTCTGATGAAAGTTGAAGAGTCGACTACAGATTAGACCATTTTGACGCTGCAAAAGCCAGAAATGAAAGTCAGGGGATTCCGTGGTTAGCGACTTATGAAATTTGCGCCCGCTGATTTGGTGTTGGTGGCTACAGTGTGTTTGATCTTGACGTAGGAGTGATGGTTGATGCACCTTGATACGTGGAAGATAAGGGGAGGAGGGAGGGTAAGATGGAATAGGTAAATAAATGGGACATAGGTGGTATAACTTATGAGAATGAAGTAATAAGAAGCGGAAAAGGCATAATGAAGATGTAGGAAGCACTACGCAATAAAAAATGGGACATATGGTGAGGGGTAATGAACAAGTCAAAGCGTAAATCTCAAAGAGGAAAATAATATACGATTAAACGCGAAAGTAGAAGGGGCTGGTAAGGGAAAGTACAGGGCGTAAAATTAGATACTGTTTAAAGAGTGGTAAGGGAGAGGGGAGTATGAGTAAGGATGCGCCATGTATGAAACTGTGCAGGCGTGTATGCGGAATACTAATAGCGATCAAGACTGAGATCACTCCTTAGTATTTGCCGCTTTTTCGGAGGGGGCGGTGGGGAAATTTTCAAGCCAAAGACATGACCGGCAAGTCTATATTAAAAATATGCAGGCTTATAGAAACTGGCAATAGACAAACATCAGGGAAATCCAAGGGCCGAAAGACAGCCGATTAATTATATATTCTTAATCAGAACTATGATTTTCGTGGATTTTGAATCCACTATACCGCCGCTGGTTATCCGAGGAGTACAGCATGTGGGAAACACTGCGCAAGCCGTGATGCCATACCAGTTTGGCCTTTCTCAACTCGCGGTTCCTGTCCCTTCGATCTCACATTTCCTTTCCCGCAATATCAGTTCTGTCCGCAATTCAAACTTTCAAGCCGTGGGTCCATCCCCCTCTGACCCGGAGGCATTGGCCCGGGGGTTAAGTTTAGTTCTGGGACAGTCAGAATGCAACCCCCGCACCCTTGAGGGTTATGATACCAGCACAGTGGAAGCCAAAGCGATAAGCGCGCGGATATCTCCGTTTCTTTACAGGAATAACAATGTGCAAGAAGAAGTTTTCTTTCCCCTTCCTTTGTTTCTTCGTTTTGCCCTCGCAGACCTTATTCATTAGTAAGTAAAGCAGGCATCTGTAGATAAGAGGAAGAAAAAGTAGCAGAGGCTGTTTGATCGCATTGCCAATTAAGCTTTAAATTAATGACTAAAGTATAAGCTGCAATATAAAAACTCATTGAAAACCTCAATGACAAAATATCCGGGTAACCCCTGCTTCGCCGCCACCTGGCCCTGTAAGATGTTTATCATGCCGCTAGGGCCTGTGTCCCCCCAGCCATATGGTCCTTGAAACATACGCCGATTCTTACGTCACATTAAGTCGTGCCTCTGGTTGTGCCTTTGCGTCTTGGGTGGCGTGCGCCCTGCCCCTGATTACTGTCTCTGTGTGCGCAAAACCTAGGTTATCTAAAGACGCTCCTGTGTGCCTATTAGAACATAATTACAGATGGGTTAAGAGAATTAAGAGATTTCAGTAAAACGAACTTTCAAAGCAATTGCTTTTTTTTTTTTTTTCTTTTTTTTTTTATGGCCATTGCAGCCGGTTGCCGTTTCCAGATGTGAGAAACATGGTATTTCAGCAGGCAACTTCTTAACGCTCACTATCCACGGTAGATCGGCTTGGCAAGACACTGTAGGTCGAGTCCCGGGGCTAAGCTAATGTGATAGAAGTAATTAAATCTGTCAGTGGTACGGGAGAGGCAAGCCAGAGCCGGGTTTAACTGCGTCACGACGCCATCATGTTTCAGCAACATGACGAACACGGCCGTGCGCAGGCCTTATCCGAGGTTACCAGATCTCCGCGGGAAATTCCTTGACTGTGTTTGAGAAGCCAACTGAAAACGGGGGAAGCGCTTAATGCTCGGCGTGACGGAGCTTGAAGTTAACTCCAAAATTACAATATGCTTATTCACATGCCTGCGTTGAAATGTTGTCCAGCTTCTCATATACAACGCGGCTCTTCTTATAAAAGTCATGAAACTGCAACTCCGAGACTTAGTATAGCCCTTAGTCTGCTTTCAATATGCCGTTGGGAAACTGCACAAGAGAAGCTTGCGAGCCGTATCAGTTAAAATGGATTTCCAATTGTCCATCTGTGGCCCTGTATGTACCTCGACCAAGCCCAGGGTGCCCGGTGCATCACAAGCATGCAGTTCCAAAATGTGATGTTATGATGTGGGTTTTCGGCTGTTGAGGAATCTAGCCTTTGTTGCCGGTAGATACCTTTCTGGTGCGGACTAATGGCGGTTCTTGAACAGGGCGGTAGCCCATGACAGCTAGGATTAGCTCATTTCGACGACGTTTTGGCCCTCATCTGTGTCGGCCACAGGGACCCCCAAAGCTGGAACGAGACGCTAATGTACGAGATATTTTTTTTTTGCAGAGTGGAAATCTTTATCTGAAGGAGGTAGTTGGGGATTTAAATGCGCATCACGTTCGCTTATCCAGTTGCTGCTGAGTATCAACCACTGACTGTTTCCGGGGCCAATTTTGTCGATACCGTAGGTTCACTCTCAGGCTCTGTGGAGCCTTAGTGATACTGTCCAGCTTCTTGCCGGTCACAGGAGATACCTCGGGCTACCTTGCGAATGTTTATTATTGTCGAAGGCGCTTTTGTATCACGGGATCATTATCTGAAGCTGCGGATTGTATAGCAGTGAGGTTTATAGGTCGCTGTGTACTACTTAGGTATTAGATACTTTAGGCCTTACGCATGAGGGCGCATTGTCGTTTTCTTTGCCTTAGAATAGTCATATTATCGACTGACATAACACGGCCCAGGTAATGCTTACAGCGAGATTAGAACTTGCGTGCTGGAATAAGAGACTGTGGAGTTCCTTGCTGATGCTTGCTGCCATGGAGGAAAATTCCGACGATGTCAGAGACGCAGACCCAAAGAACAATTAAACACGGATATTACACTAGGTTTCACAAATGGTCCTTGATATGATAACCACTCATGATCTAGTGTCTAAGACCCCAGGGTTGCACAGACGGGGTTACCAGAGCTCCCCAGGAGATCGACAGGGTACCCGGCTCCTTGGCTACGGTCCTGGTTATCTTGCAAAGCAAACAGCAACCAGAGTGCATCCTTCTATAACGACGTATGAAATATTTATGTTTTAAATAAGTTTGACTTGTGATATCCTAGCTGAGAACCGGTACCCGGCCTTGAGCCAACTTTTGGTGATAAAGGTAATTGCGTCTAAAGGTCTCATACAGATGTAGCAGGCCGTTTCGGACCACCTAAAGTCGACTTTGAGAGCCCATTAACTCAAACAGTATTTGGTGTCTTGGTTCATAGCAAATATCATGCGATTTTACCGTCACCTGCATGAATGACCTGCCATAAAGTGTATGAGCGTTAGGACTGAGGAAGAGTGGCGTCGGCATGCCAGTCGGGTTCATAGGCCGATCACTACGCATTGTAAAGGCCCGGAACGCGGATGATGATACCCGTTGTTGAAACGACGCACTACAGAAGCGGGATGATGGCGGGGAAACCCTCATTCCTGAATTTGCGTAACCTCAGAGGGTTAAGATTAGGATTTTGGTCTCCCTAGCTAGCTGCATATGAACTTAGCAAAATGGCTTGAAAAAATCAGTCCTTTTAGGGCTCAAAGGATAAAACGTTAGCAGATATAGATCGATGATTGGATGGTCTCGTTGAATCAGCTTTCTTGATACTCATAAGTAAATCCTCTTTTTCTTTTTTTATTATCTAATTGGGAATTGCCTGCCGTGGCAAAAGATATCTAAGCAGCGGCATTTTTGACGTTTATTGATACCCTTGAGCCCTGCAGCTTTTACCAGCCTGGTCCTCGGGCCATGACCCGTCCCCCCGGAATGCGCCGGCATACTGTCTAGACTGTGTCTCCCTGATCGTATGGATATGTAACCTAACCGGACATATACCCCTGTATCCGTCCTGACCCGGGACTTGCGTCATACTGCTTTTTTCCAACAGTCCAGGAACGCCACACATCATCCAATCCTAGCTCAGGGCCACTTAAGTCCCTGTTAACTGAATCCTCGCTTAAATCCGATCGAATCATAAACCCAGCCTTAACGCCTTTTCATCTTAATTTTGGCTCGTGATCTTGTCTTTCCGACAGGGGCTTGTTTGGCCATTTCTCAACTTGATGAGACTTGACCACTGATTTTGCTGGTATCTGAAGATTGGAACAGAAAACCTCATATATAAATGATAGCAACTAATGTTGCCCTGTCCGTCCTGTGCCCAGGCGTGAAGACGGTGCGCCTCATGATTTGGCGTCCTAAAGTCATTGCGATGCGACATGTCGCTGCGCTACGGCGTGGCTGACATTAGTACCTGCGATGGGGTCCCCCCCTGTGACATGCTGACGAAGGCTGGTACCATTGTGGGTTCTCAAGCCGTCCTACTTCTAGTCTAAGGCCCGCTCTCAACAATGCCAATACCCGTTTAATTACCCTCAGAGCGTGCAGAGAGCAACCCTTCTCCCATCTGATCCTCGAGACTTGACTGAACTGGTGTTAGTCTTGTCCGTAATGGAGTCGAATGCTCATCTGCCGCATAGCTCGCTTGGACCGCGGGCTCTGGGTATTGTCACGCCCTTTCTCATTGTTGGCATTCTTGTCTTCACAGTGAGGATCTACACTCGCGTAACCCCGGTATACAAATTGGATGCCTCAGACTACACTATCTCGGTCGCTGTTGTGGGTATAAGACAATCTAGATAAAGAGGCAAGACTGACTTAAGTGTAGATTATCGAAGTTATCGTCTACTCGCTCTTCATAGCAAGTATAACTTCTGGGCTGGGCCGTTACAGCTATGATGTATCTCCGGAGCAAGGCGTTAAGACTCTTCGATATGTTTATGTGGTTATCTTACTGTCAACGTTTGTGCCCGCCCTCGTCAGGATCTCGGTCGGATTTCTACTGTTAAAGTTCGTGTTGTCCAAGGCCTGGCGCGCAATAATCTGGTGCACCATTGGTATCCAAGCTGCGTGTGCTATCAGCACTGAAATCTTCCAGCTCATCCAGTGTCGACCAATCAATGCCCACTGGGAACAGGTTCCTGATGCACGGTGCTTGAGTGCACGGCAGATCTGGATATGTGGCTACACGACTATAGGTAAGCTATCAACCACGACATTGGCCCTCGTTGCATGATTCTGACTCGTCTTGCAAGGTGTTGCTTTATTTGGCGACTTGGCTTTAGCAATCATGCCAATGTTCTTAATCTGGAAGCTCAACCGATCGACTCTGGAACGGTGTCTTATTAGCGTCTTGATGGCACTTGGCCTGGTTGCGACTGTGACCGTCATCATGAGGCTCGTTGAGATGCGCACATTGGACTTTGCTTCTCCGGAAAGGTTCAGGGCCCTGATACCGGTATACTTTTGGCTTCGAATGGAAGAGGCCATTTTGATAATAGCTTCTTCGGCGCCGATGCTCAAGTCCCCAATCGAGCACGTCCTCTATAAATTCGGCCTGCCTGTGTTCCAGCCCAGAGTTAGGAAACTGACCTCGTTTCATTCCAGTAACCCGGGTTCGGACACAACACCACGCTTGCACCATCAACGGTCGCAGCAGGAGCTGGTAGGATACGAGCAACCTATCTTCATGCATGAGCCCCGGCTCGAAGGCACAGAAGACCCTCCATCAATATCGAACGGTATACGGCCTCTTAGCGATATTCCTCAAGCACTGACGCGCTGATCATCTCATAGTGAATGGCAGCAAGGGGCTTCGAAGCCTGATCTGATAGCTCGGGATGAGACATGGCTTAAAAATGAAATGAATTTTGGAACCAATCTATGGATTGCGTTGAAGATGCGAAAGAGAAGAATTTCAGGAGCTCCTATCCTGCCCAACTGAATCCCAGATCCCCATGACAGCCTCCTGAATAAGCCAGATTGTATGAAAACGCGATTATGTCATGCAGATTCTCTGAACAGTTTCGTGGAATGACAGATTCTGACGAGAGAGACGCAGTCAGGTCTGAGATATAAGGTTGGAGTCTATTTTTTCCTGCTATTGACCCCTCTTATGCATCCGCCTAGGCTACATTGATATTAAGTCTTGTCTTGCCCACACAATACCCTTATCACGCCACCACTACTATCTACCTTAACACCCAATTATCATTCTCTCCAGCTTTAGAGGTCTAGATGCACTTTATATAATAATAGATTACCTAGGTTAGAGCCACCTTATGATTTAAAATATAGGGAATTTCGCATTTAGTTGAGATTTAAGATGCATAGTTTTATAGGTCTTTATAACTAAAATATCTTATGCTATCAACTGATGTCTATATAGAGGTTGTAGAGGCTAAGTGTAATAAAAGCAGTAGCGGCCTTACTATTGGTAGTACTACTAATACTATAATTCTTCTTATTGTAATTATTTATATCCCTATATGTCTTAATTTTAGAAGTCTTATATTAAACCTAGAAGAGTTATAGACTTTTATATCTATTTATATTAGAGATCTATATCTTATATAAAGCCTAAAAAGAAATAACACCTTAAGGTGCACTTCTCTGCTATCTATATATAATATCATAAGATAGTAATAAGTATAATTCTTAAAGTATTTTTTAAGAGCCTAGTTATTATAAATTGCATATTTTATATAGATTTAGTTAATAAGCTTTTAAATTTATTTTCTCATTTATAGCTTTTATTAAAGTACTTATCTTACTTTAATTATATATATTAGTTTTTAAGTTTAATATTCTTTAAGAAACGTAGTAATTTAACTTTAACTTTATTTAAGTATATTTACTATATATTAGAGATTATATATAAAAGTAATAAAAGTAAATAGCTAAAATAAAATTAAAAATTAAAAAGAATTATTTAAAAAATTAAAATTTATAATATTATCAAGGATTTTATATATTATTTTAATTATAAATAGAGTTAAATATTTAATATATTATTTTAATTATAAATAGAGTTAGATATTTAGTATATTATTTTATTATATATAAAAATTAGATATATCTCTTATAGAAATAAATAAAACTTGTAATAATAGAGCTATAGAATAGTAATAAAGCTAGCATTAGCCTTAAGGTAGCTTACTTAAATACATATTATTAGCGGCATTCCTAGCACATTGTCTAGTAAACCTAGGATTTATTTCATCCTTTAACCTGAATTAATACTTTATAAAAAATAGCTATTCTTTGAGATATTTTTATTTAGTTATAAACCACAGTTTTCGTGAGATTTATGCTATGTAATACAACTTTTACTCGGCACTGTGCTGTAAGGCCTTGCCCCTGTAGGGATCTTATCCTTAAAACGGATTAGGTGATTAGTCAACACCTTGCAGTCTGCGGCAATTATAACCATTACCCTAATCTTCTTCGTTTCAAGTGCTTGCCTTTCGTTCGGCTTTAGCAACCACAACTCACCCCACGCGTATAACCCAAATAGCAATGTCGTATTCAATTTTCGTCAATCGCATCCAGTTCATATCTTAGGGTTCGTTTTAAATGCCGGCCTTTTGCGGGGTTAATGACTGGGTAGTCACGACCATCTCTAGCTAATATTTCAAACCGCGTCCCAGGAAGCTAAAATGCCCAAGTACGAATTTCATGTGTCAACTGGCGCACCGACACAGGCCAATAAGGCCATACGGAGCCATGCCATAAAGACAGCCCTGCAGTTGCGTTCGAAAAGAGTAACTGGAGAGGATTTGTCAGATAGCTCAGCAGCATCAGCACAGACAGCACAACGAGAAAAGGAACTAAAAGGCCAGTTCAGAATCAAGACGGCCTCTATGACGAACCCCGGTCGCAGACCAGGAGCAACGCACCAAGCAGTGATACGGCACGATAATGGAAGCATGTTTGTCTCCGTGAATATGAACCAAAACTGTTTTAGCAGCAACTACTCAAGTCGAGTCCAAAGGTTCTCAGTTAATATTCTCGACCCTTTTGGAACAATCCCAATACCGTCGAATCCGCAAATTGACACGCTTCTCAAGCATTGTATGTATTACTCGTTTCTGCTACGCATTGCATGAGCTCACCACCCCTAGTCATTGTGCTTTTCGACTACTTGACTACAACAGTTCCCAGCAACAACACATGGCTGGGTCTTGCGATAAATGACCCGCTTCTCATGCGTGTGACTCTCTGTACGACGGCAGCCTTCGGAGCTACGGTCACACCGTTATTCAGTCCTGAACTGCGAAAGGAAGGATTGAAACTAAAGTGCGACGCCATCAAGGACCTAAATTCTCTCCTCCAAAATGGCCAAGTCCCAGAGAATGTACTTGCTGCCATTGCACATCTAGGACATAGTGAAGTGAGTGATCGAGTGCCTTTAGGTCTGAATTCTTCCGGGCGATTCTGATACCAGTCGTTGACATTGGTGTTCCAGAATTTAGAGGGTTCCTCTCAAGAAGCAGATATCCACATGAGGGGACTTCAAGCGCTACTTGATATCAGAGGAGGGATCAAGTCTATTAATACTTATCAAGTGGGACGATTCATAAACTGGTAAGCGAGAGGCATCCTGTGCTACGCGACTTGAAGAGAAATTTGATCTAAAACTCTTTAGGGTGGACTTGGAATTAGCTACGACTCGAGGGCGAAGACCTCTTTATCCCCTGCACTACGGCTTGGATAGAGTCAAGCTTCCACACGATATCGTAGCGGCCTGTGAATTTCCAAGTCTTTCTCGTTTACAAAGTCTTGGGCCAGCACACAAAACCGTTATGACCGTTATTCAACTGGTTCGACAAAGAGTAATGGCGGTAGAATGTGGCATGGATCCCACACAGCGAGATGTTCGTGCGCTGTCATTTTCCGCAGCCTTTCTCGCTCTCGAACAAGTTGATGATATTCCAATTACTCTAGAAGGACAACGTGTCCACACCATCCTGTTAGCTGCGCATCTCTTTTTGTGTGCGGCCATGAAACAAGACTTTCGATGGAGCGGATCCCTCCCATGGATGATGGCACAACGCCTGCGGGAGTCACTCGAGACCGAGCCAGTGTATTCTGAAGTTTGGGTGCCACATCTACCTGAGTTGCTCTGGGTGCTCTTTGTTGGCGCCGTGGTAACTGAGAAACATCCACAAGGCCACGGGACATGGTTCGCTACGCAATTACAGATTGTTTGCCAGCTCCTTCGATGTAGCACGAGGCTGGATTTCGAGGATCATCTGCACTCTCTGGTATGGGATAATAGGTTTGGGATTGAGTTTTTAAATAATTGGTTGGCGCCTACTCTCGGTGGCTATTGTCGTCTGTCATAAGACTACTATTAGCTGCCTCCTGCGGCGAACAAGATGGAGATTTAGGATGCTTGGTTGCTTCGGATCGCGTGGTGAGACATATGACATGGGTTGATAAAAATATTCATTTATCACCAAGGACGAGCAGGGCGGTGATGGACGTTCAAAAGCCGGAACGGCCAGTCAAGACGAGCGCAATGCAATAAGTCTGTAACTTATTTAGAAACTCCTGGGGCTAGGCACAACTATTTGTTCTTATTCATGCCAAATAGGATATCAATCCCAGACCTTAGTAAGGTATCCTTACTACGCCTCATCAGAGACCTTCACGATAACCTTCCCTCTCGCTCGTCCAGACTCCACCTTGTCCCAAGCCTCAGCAAACTCGCTAAACCCAACCACGCTATCAATACTTGGCTTCAGCTTGCCAGCCTCCAATAGCCCCGTAATGACGTCTAGGTCCTTGCCGAGTGGCGTGATGACAAAGAACAGGCTGCGGACCTCTTTTTTAACATCTTGCGGGCGACTGTCCTCTGGTACACCGCAGACACTAATAAGGCTTCCCCCATCCCGAACTGCATACCAGGCTTGGGAGAGTGATGGGCCCCCAATGCAGTCAAAGACAAGGTCAAACTCTCGACTACTGGCATCCTTAGCTACCCAGTCACCGCTGCTTTCTTTTGTATAATCTATTATTTCCGTCGCACCAAGTTCTCGGACAAAGTTGAAATTCTTTGGTCCGACAGCAGCTACGACAGCAGCTGCTCTGGCCTCTCGAGCGAGCTGGACTGCCCAGCTACCGACTCCACCGGCCCCGGCGGTGATTAACACGCGAATCTTGGAATTTTTGTCCTGCGCTGCTTTGTCACCTGATAGTGCCAAGGGGTCTAATCCGCCATGTGTAAAGAGCGATTGGTATGCTGTCAGCGCGCTGATAGGAGTTGCAGCTGTTTCGGCCCAGCTAAGGTTCCTGGGCCTAATCGCGAGCTCTGACACACGAGCCAGAACATACTCGGCTGCGGCGCCAGGGCGTGTGGCCTCGATCCGAGCGTAGACTTCGTCACCAGTCTTGAAGTCGCTGTTTGCAGGAGCAGAGACGACTGTTCCCGCGACATCCTGTCCTGGGACGGGGATCTTATCTTTTGGTATAAAGTCAGGGAACCAGACAGCCCAGTCGAGCTCGCCCTTGACAGGAGAAGTGGCATGGACCTTAACCAGAACATCCTCAGGATGTTTAGGCACGGGGACAGGTTGTTCGGATAGAATGAGCTTGTGGGAGTGTTTGTCAGGCTGGAGAACTGCCTTCATTGTTGCCGGGAGGTTGAGTGAAGCCATGGTACGGGTAAAGCCTGAGATAGCGGGTTTTAAGACTGACTGGGATGGGTTTTTCGCAAGATTATGAGGAAGGATGAAACTGGATGGTAAACCCCTATGTGAAAGAGCATAGGTTCTCGAGATGATTCTTAACATGTGAAGCCGACTGCAGGTTTGACTTTTTTATTTTATTTTTCTACCTGGGTTGCTCAGTGTATTTATACATTAATCGACGCCTGTTCTTTCCAGACATAATCCCCTTCGCCAAGCGTCTTTGCTAACCTTGATTATAATAAGCTTGTACTTTTTCAAAACTGACATGGCATCAAAGCACGGTGTTCTTAGCACTATTTTCCTATTATGGCAGGTGGGTCGGATCAGCCTAGTTTCGGGGCCAGCCCCTCTCACGGCATCATAGCAAAGTCATCCCAATAAACTGGTCAATCAGCTTCCAAAGTCGACAAGCCTCCGTGATTGAAAGCTTAGTAAAAGCGAAGTAATCAAGCCGATGACTGTAACGCTGACGTGTCTCATTACTTTTCAGATTGCAGACTCTGAGAGGCCATGAGCCGAGGGACCCGGAATGTCAGCCTACCTCTATTTCAGTCTTGGACCTCCGCTCACCCGCCTCTCATCAGCTTGTGATTCTGCATTAAGTAACGCTATGTGACCTGGCTGAAAGTTGTGATTTCTTCTGTGACCCAACACCTTCCCCTCACGTTAAGCCACCTTTGGCATCTCGACACTGTGTGAGGAAAACCAACCTCCCGTAATGCTTGCTATTGGCACTGAGAAAAATTGGTCTACGGATACAGGTGGAGGGGAAAAGATAATAGGATGTTGAATAATTATGGGATCAAATCCTTTCCTCGTGATTATAAAAGTAACAGTTCTTCTCTCATAAGAACCAACATATTCCACACAATAGGACCAGAATCACCCTCAACGCAGAACCATTATCATGGCTTTCCCCAACGTCGACTTCAATCTTCGGTGGCAGGATCAAAACGTGGTCAAAAAAGACGGCCAGTGGACGGTTGACGGGTAAGTGTTATACCTATGTGCTAACGAAATCATAGAGGATGTCACGCATTCTGCGAAACACTTACAAGCAACATGCTGATACCTTGTGCAGACGACCTACTGTGAGTGTTGCAGTATCTCATGTACACCAGCCACCCAACTTGCCCAATAACACGTGGCTGGGGCTGCTTGTGACAGCTCCTCCAAATGCCGGTGAGTATATTTTATCTGTGCCTTCATACATTTTACCATCGCGGGAACTTGCTTGAACTCAGAGATTTACCTTGAAGCTTGTATAAAGCAATACTGACACGGGGTTAGCTACACCCCCTCACACTCATGCTGGAGCCTCCATCGTTGCAACAGTGATACGAGGTCATGTTCTCAACCAAATGGTGCATACCCAAGTTGATCAGGCAACGGGTGAGACACACACGCATGATAGCGGTGCCAAGGTGTACGGGCCAGGTGAGAGCTGGTATGAGGCTCCAGGCTGCCACCACGTTCGTTCTGAGAATGTCGGTAACGATGAGGCTCTCTTCATCGCGAACCTGGTCGTTAGTACAGATGTTTTCAAAGGGTTAGACGTGAAAGCTCGGAGCGAGGAAGAGGACTTTGCAAAGATTGGCCGTGTCTTTATCATTGACAAGGATGTCGATAAGTAGAACTTTATAACGACTAGAGCCAAGAGCTGGAAAGTTTAAAAAGGATATGAATTATCCTCTCAATTATTACAAGGCTCTCACTAGCTTAGTTCAGGGATATCTGCCCAAGTACAATGCATCAATGAAGTGGGCATCATTCACTGCTAAATGATCCTATGGTTCTTCTCCTCATAAGATTGTGAGTTACAAATGGCACTTCATCCCTTCATGTAACTGGTTATGGACATGTGAAAGAAATAGTACATTCATGTATAGATGCTGTTCTCAATTGTTAAATACTTTATCGTTAACCGCCACCACAAGAGCGGTATAGTCTGAGTTATCAACATAATCGATGTAGACAACATTAGGAAAGGAAGTATTGTTAACCACGGGGAGTAGACGCGTCACCAGTTCCTTGTTGCAGGTATATGCCAATACTCGAATTGGTTTCAGGAATGCGACCACCTTGGTAGCAAAGTCCACAAGGTTGCCGTTCCAGGATGGGGCTTGCTGTGTCAGCGTCCAGGACAGCAGAAAGAGTTGTTTGTCTTTAGTAGGCATGTGTCCTTTCATTTTGTTGATCTGATCGCTGACCATGACTACTGCGTCGTCCGTGTTAGAATATTGGTTGTAAACGTTGAGCTGTGAAGGCTTGTAGAACCCCTTGTTCTTAAAGTCTCTCATATCAAGACCTTCGTTTTCCACGACGCAGACGACCGCTCCACGCCCGTTGCCGATAAAATCCTGAAGTGGAATAAGGCTTAGGTCTTGCGCCTTCTTCTCGTCTTGTACCACATATCGGTTCTCAAGCTTCAGCAACTCGCCCAGAAGTCTGCGCCACTCATTATCATTGAATTTCCTCCAATCACCTCCGACATCGGTCTGGAGGGTGTGTGAGAAATTAAGAATTACCAGCTCTGGGTATTGCGACAGGAACGAATTAACACCAGAGATGATGCTGGCCAGTGACTCCCCGCGGGCTCCAATCTTGCCCGTGTAGTGACCCGTCCAGAAACCACCGCCAGAGATTTGAGGACGGATATCGAAGTAACGAGCGCCGTACGCAAGCTGTCCGTGAACCGGAGTGGCCTGGCAAAGCACGTAGTCGTCGATCAGCCCGCTTGGTATGTCACTGTGGGATACAAAAGACATGCCAGAGTCATGGCTGCCAAGCATGCAAATTTGTGACAGCGGTCGAGGTCCTAAAGTGGCAAGGTTTTGGTGCATCCAACCGACAGGAGGATTGGTCGTGTGGAAGCTGCCTTGCTTTCCCGAAAGTACGAAGCTTACAATGCCATCATGTCGCCACCCTAGCTGTATCGAAGAACCCCTTGGGTTGTTAACTGCTTCTAATGATACAAGCTCCACCCAGATTCGGGATGGAGCATCGGAGATATGGATGCGAAACGAGCAGTCCGTTCCTTGTAAGGTATATGCAGTGATACCTCTGGTGTCTGAGCGCTCTACGAACAGGCCTTGCTTGAACTCAACGTAATTGCTTGTTACAGTGCCTGTGCTACGGTTAGTCGTCCCTTGTATGTTTGTTCAACCTGGGCATCTACCTGGGTCGAGCCATTCAGGGAGGTTCCAAGAGTTCATCTGATAGCTGCTCTGATTTGTTCGGATCCATTTGTATGGTGTGCCGTTGACGAGCGCAAGTGTTCCGCCTTCACCCATCGTGGTGACGATCGATCGTTATAGAAGGTCCTGAGCTTGTCTGTTTTGTTTTATGAAGCAGTGGAGGTCAGTCACATGGAGTCATCTCACAATCGAAGAGCAAACGATGAGATTATATACTTGTTCTTAGTTGCTGGTGGTTGCATGCGCTCGCTATTGGCAACACAGATCATCGAAGCATCACTCTCACATATTATGCATTAGTTCAGCCACAGGGTTGCATTTTGGGTCACAGACTCTTCAGTATGTTCAACTATTCTCTTTCGCAGGAGTCAAGAACTCATGCTAGGGTCGGGCCGCATGATGTCGCTGCAATAAATGGCCGATGATATTGGTTGATCACTTTTCCAACTTGTGCTTGGAAATATATAGGCGGTATAACACACATCAAATAAGCTGGAATACTTTCTGTAAACAACTTGTTCTTCCTGTATATCCCAACAGATAGAGTGTGCCTTTTAGTTTCCATGCAGCTGGACTGATCATGAGATGGTATCATGAGGTAAAGGAATTTGGCTCAGGTGGCCTGACTAACCGCTTGGGGTAACTGGGCAAGACATTGTGTGGATGAAGTATCACATGTGATTCTGCGAGTAATTGTAGACTCAGCGAAGGGCATCGCATCTTCCGTTCCGTAATATGGCAAAAGTCTACCCTGCATTCTCTAATAACGTAGCCGCGGCATGCACAAGTCCATGAGGACTACAAGCGACATTGCGGAATCTATAAGAATCAACAAGCCGCGAAATTCTTCTACCAGCAATAAGTCAATCTAACATTAAGGCGCCTACTCCGAGTCGGCAAGCGAAGTAGCATAAGGGCCATAATATCCCCGAGTAACTGCTACCTCAAGTCCGTTGCTATTATAGCTTTGGACACTTGCAGCTTCTTCTTCTTCTAAAGTAACCTTGGATTTTAGACGTGACCTCGCACAGTATAAATGTCGCGACTATGAATGACTGTGTACTTTAGGGCCTTGAAACCTATGACAACATTCTATCGTCCCTCGGTGTGAGAGGGAGGTTTGTTCAGATTCAAAATAGGCTGATAGCATTCTCATATTTACCGGAGAAACACCAACTCCTTCCCAAAGACGATTTAACACGGGCTTAAAATCATGGCTCAATTGGGGGACAAGGAAGTATGGCGGCTTCAGAAGGTAGGAGGACGGGCGTTTCGAACTATCGATTTAGACTCCACTCCCTTGGACTCGCGCATTGACCTCGTGACTGATGAATGGGGTGGCTCGGAATTAATGGGTGTGTATGAGGAAGTTAGCTAGGCCAATAGGGGCCAGTCTAGATAAAAGTTAATAAAGGAGATAAGGGCCTAATGTATCAGGCTCACATTTTAATACTGAATACCTCACTCACCTGAGTTAAGTGCATTTAGGGCCCACGGCCAAAAAGTAGAAATAGGCTTCTAATTCCGACAAAACGGCCGTTAATAAGGTAAATTAATCTATTAGGATGTCGCCACCCTAGACCTGGAAGTGGGCTTGTTATTGCGGAGAGAAAATTATAAATGCCCAGGACTGTACCTGCTATTAAATAGTGGTAACTAGGGAAGAAAGCAGTAAGAGAAAAGGCAGAAAAACAATCTTCTTTTAAATAACTTCTATTTACCTATTTATTACTTTCAAAAGACCTAAGGGTCACCTGGCAAAGATATAGGCTCTTAATTAGTTAATATCTGCTATTGTAAACCCCGCATCTCACATCCTCATCGTCATGTGGTGCTCTAGATATTTTAGGCAGGGATGTCATGGTCCTTAGTAAAAAAGGACTAAAATAGTAAAACATCTTAGAAGTAAGTATAGCTTTAGAAATCGCTTATTGTCTTAGTATTAACGTATTATATCTTAACCCTTATAAGTTATTAATATTAAGTATTAAAAAAGAGAAATAAGTAATTCTAAATTATCTAAAAAAAACCTTTATATTTAATATTAGCTACCTTGATGCTAAGGGATAAATAGTATTAGTATAAGCTGTAAAGGTTAGTAATAAGAATATAGTTAAATGTCTACTTGGAATTAAAGGTATTAATGTAAGTGCCTTAAATATAAATAGAAGATATCTGCTCTTATGGCAATTTAGAAGTATATCAATGCGCTACATTTCGTGCCAGACAGATTAGGATATAGGAGTCTTGGTTAGAATGACTATATATATTTAGCATTTCCTCCTATATAACAAGGTAACAAACTCCTATCTTTCCATACTTCCTTTCTATATCTGATATATCTAAGGATGACAGAAGAACCTTGGGATTGGGGATACACTGGAACTATATGAGTTGATATTCACTGCCCAGGCATCATTCTTCCTATCCGCTTCAGTAATCAATACACTAGCTCCAACACCGCTACAGCTATCTCAGCTTCCTCTCCCTTTTTAACTGATCGAAACCTGGGGTCAATGCGCCAAGGTCTGGGTCACATGGCTCGAAGAAAATGGTGGTGTTATCAATAGCTCGAAGTAATCAATGAAGAGAATGGTAGGTCTAAGAAATGGAATGGATCTCAGCTTCAGTAGTATACGTTTAGCTTAGGGTATTCATTTATATGCCCATATAAAGATAGAACGATCAAGAGCCATTGAATTGCCCCCTACTCATGTATTCAACGCCCTGAGAACCCGGTCATCAAGTTCATGCCATATTGTAAATTTCGACTCCTCCAATGGCAGCTTCGTCCCTTCGAACATAGCAAGACTGATGAGACTGCGTCTCTTCCGAAGGCATTCCAAGCTCCTGTTGAGCGATCTCGTCATATACAAGTCGTATCCACAGAGATCTTCGTTCCGGACTCTTATTTAGCCGTAGATGAATATACAATTCGTTACGCAGGCTTGTCAAATTGACACAACACTTATTAAGGGTAACCCGAACCCCCTAGTTATTCCCTGTTCTAGGTCCATTCTTCTCAAGCAATACTGCCTCAATCTCAACCTCAATATGCACAGTGTCTAATGCCAGCTTCGAAACCTCGACGGCCGTCCACGTAGGCCGATGATTCGGGAAACGGCGCTTTGAAACCTGCACCAGTGGCTCAAAGCTGGATCGCAGGTCGGTGTGAAACGATCGCACCGACTAGACGTCGTCAAATGAAAGCTCAGAGTTGGCTGATTGTAGTGCTCTTAAGATGTTGTCGTAGGTGGTCTCAAGCTCTTGCTCGAAGACGCAAGGAATCTCGCCGGTCTCGTTCCAGCCACCCTGGCCAAATAGTTTGACAATGTCGCCGACTTCAACAGCTTGTAAGTAGTAACCGAAGTCAGAGGAGGCCACGCCTTGGCCAGGGTAGTTGAAGAGTTGGAAAGGCATGGTAAGAGGGCAGCAGAGAAACGGTATGAAAGTCTTAATGGATGATGGGCAGTTCACAGGCCAAAGTATGATTTAAGTGTAATATTTAACTTGAAATGACACCAGAGGTTCGCGTGTAGTTATAGATGTTCGAGTTCCCTTCTTAATAAACACCTGCCAAGCGATATACATAATTGGTCACATGCACGTCAGTACTACAGTACGCATTATAGTAAATTTGGCTATTGATAGGGGTTTCCAAGAAGCTATACGGTATGTGCAGGCTGATAAATGCTGACTGTATACAAGCAGAGTGATTGTCATCATCACTCACCTTTGTCACCGGAGTATTTTGCTTGTCTCGGCTGCACAGCGGGGTCGTGTTCTATGCCGTGGGTAACAACAAGACTTTTGCTAGTCCTTGGCTGTTTAGTTTCACATTTAAAATAATTCTTATTCATCAGAGTATTTACTTAGGCAACTCTGGGCCTTAAGGGTAGGCCAGGCTATTCCTAACCACCACGATAGTAAATCGATTCGGAGCATGGAGATCCACCCTTATTGATGAAAGGAGAAGATGTATCACCGCATTGGAAAAGAATCTCGTCGACATTCAAGACGTCGTTGACAAGTCTATTGATCCAAGCACTCTTTTTCGTTTCAAGGCTGTAGAGAATTGCCTCGTCTACACACCACTTCTTTTACTCATAACCTCTGCGCGACCTTCCTTCCCTGCACATCCTCTGTAGTGTGCCTTTTATCTCCGTTACAGCGTCTTCTGTATTGTAAGAGATGCGCTGCAAACTTAATCTTAAGGACTATAATTTGAAAGATCAAGCGCAAGGTCTCTTTTTTTTAACTATACTATAAAGTTTAAAAGCCTGATGCTAAAACCCATCCTACGCAATTAATTAACGTATTACCTCCTGGCCATATTCTTACTTGACTAGCAGTGCCAGTTAACTACTAGGCTGAGACAAAAAAATACGCGATAGCATAGTACTCTTGCGATCCCATATGCGCGAGTGGACATATACCTAATTGTCCCCCTCGGCAATTTTGAAGTACCTTGCTAATTAAAAAAGCCTAGTCTCTTTCCCAATAATACTATGCAAAGGTAAGAGGGTATCTTAATGGCAGGCTGCAGAATGTAATTATACAGTTACATTTCCTCCTATTGGAGTGTTTACTAACTACTTATATATAAATCATAATACAGATGACTCCAAACTTTGGTAATTGCCCTTCTCCTTCACACTGTTTCCAAGCTGCCTGGCCAGGGTTGCTTAGAACCATCTACTATTATCTCATTCGTGATGGAAATTTGACTCAGGTCTGACTCAAACCCTCCGGCTCCAGCTCCACTCTGCCCCATGAGAGTTGATGTGTATTTGATGCCACTTGGGTGGTATTGATCGGCTGTATGGCTCTCAAACTCGGACACTAAGCCGCGACCACTACCATCATCTGAAACGGCCAGCTGGTGGGTTGAACTGGACTCGTCGTTGGGAGCACTCATGCTTATGGTATCGAGGCGAATGGACTGCTTCCTTTGACTGCGGCTGGATGAGTTTCCGTAGCTGTTTGAGCTTGCGCCAGTGACTGTTCTCGGGTTTGTGCAGGTGAAGATAAAGGTACATGCTGGACGGATTACGGGGAGAGAAGCTGTAAAGTAATATTAGTTATTCTATCGCATTTATACTGAGGCTCGGGAGTAAAACCTACCAGAAACATTAATAAGGTTCACCTCGACTGTTGCCCAAATAACGATTGTTACGATATTCCACGTCAGATCTGGTGATGTATCGTCAAACACTCTAGCGGCGACAATCAACCGAATGCCGGCCGCGCAAATACTTCAATTATTAGCAAGTCCATCAACGAGCATATGTAGTAAAAGCCGCTTACAAGAAACCGAACGTGAACATAATCATAATGCCAGCCTTTTGCAGAATAGGCAGCTGCAGCTTTCCAATCTCCAACATAGGCAGAACCAGGATGGCGATATCAATAATATTATGAACTAAAGTAGTTCCGAAGAAGAACTTTTTGTCCTCGATGGCGCAGTACCCGCCGGCAGTAGAGTCCCAGAAAGCCTGTACGGGGACGCAATGAAATATCCCCATAAAAATCTTGTAATAATTATTAGATTCAATTCCTGGTCAGGAGAGTAGAGTACTTACTCGGAAGATAATCCATGTTATAGAGCATCCAAATAGAATTTGAATTGGAAGTCTAATATTCGTGATGCAAAACATACGCCAGTACAGACTTAAGATAGAGACCTTGGCAAAGAAGAGGCCGAAAGCATAGAAAAGCTCTGCAACAAAGAGTACGAGCTTGCTTTCGTAGAGTGCTTTGTCGAGCGTTATGCCTTTGACATCCAAAACATCCATGATATGAAGTCCAAGGCCGCGGTTGATCCCTTTCCAGTCTTGTTAGCCAATTGGTCAGTCGACATGCGCAGATGACCTACAGTAAGGGATAATAACGATCCAACCAATGGAAATGGCCTGTAAGAGTTAGCAATTTTGTTGCTTTACAAGTCAACGCAGTAGCAAAGACGTACATAACCGCAGAGCGCAAAATAGTCATCCCACGACAGAGAATTTCTCTTGAGCCTACGACTCAACAGACGGAGTATTGTGACGATAGTCGCCGCTGTAAACGTGACAAAGAGCACCACCCAGAGATCAGTCTGTTTGGACTCCATTTTTGTCTCTGTATAAGATATCAATCAAAAGCACTGTCAAGTCAGGACGGGTATGATTCAGCACTTTAGCCCATCAAAAGTCAGACGGCAGCGTGAACTGGAGAAAATGCAAGGATAAAGAGCATCAACATGAGGGGATTGGACAGATTATGTACAGAAGACCCCCTGACAGTTTGTTAATCCATGCCGCATCTTGCTAAAGAAGCAGAGGCCTGTAACTTTCTTCCTCTTTTGACTTTGAGAAGTGCGAAAATTAGAGGCAGTACTCAGTACGTAGATCTCGGCGCTATTTGGTTAGTTTCTCATAGTGTTACCTTTTCGTTGGATAACTCAAGTGCCGTGACAACAACCCATATCGGTACTTGCGGCGCTAATGACTCAATAGTATAGGTATAATTACGCGGCGAACTCAACAAAGGAAAGATTTGAGTGGAGGTGCTAAGTGGACCACAAAAAGGAGGATATAAACTATAGCGGTCTTCGATGCCGGTGTTGTAACAAAAGGTTGCTAAAATTCTCGCACCCACGCCATCGGTGACGATCATACCGTTGGGGATCTACAATGCCAAAGCCGAAAGTCTACTAGCGCGGTGAAGTTCTCCAACAAATTTCATGAAGATATTCGACTAAGGCTGAAGGGTGACACTAGTGACTGGAGCTAGTCCCTTGATGTTACAGTCACTGACAGACATGTCATCCTCTCCAGGAGAACCTGTTCTCCCAAATTCGATAATTAACGGTCATAGCTTTTATACTTTGTTCCAGGTCATCCTTGAATTGTATATAAAGATAAGGCTACGCTCCTCTACCACTCTGATGCAGGCAGCGAGATGGTTTATGAATACATGTCAAGCACTTGTCGAAAGGCTAAAATTGACAGTGACATGCAAGTGGAGATTGTACGTAGAAAGGTGTAGTAAACTGCCTGAACCTTAATTCTCTTCAAACCCAAGTTTATTGTCACGGAATTTCCCGGTGGCTTCGCAAGTGGCATGTCAGCTACCATCACTAGTCGCAACGGCCGTTTCTATTGCAGTTACAATACCCCTGACGGTGACATTTTTTCCCTTGCCCTATGGATAAACGAAGCTGTCGATCTCTATAACCTGGTTTGCTTATTCCGGCTTACCAGGTCTCTTATTCCGAGAGCCGTTTACTTTGACGTTGAAGGAGGGAAGCTCGCTCCCTCTGCTCCATCCCCCTTTCTCATCACCGAGACAATCAGGTCTAGCTTGCGGAACTAACAGTGTATTGGCGACCTCCTCGGAAGTCCTACTTTTACTTTTACCCCACTACATGGACTCAATATCCTGTTTCAACATGGCAGATGCGCGGCCGTTATCCATCGGAGCGATCCATTACGGTGCCACAAAGCGCCTTTAGTATATATTGATGAGACTTAGAAGCAATGAGCATAGATAGAGAATATTTGCTACTGTTAATTTCTGAATAAAATTAAGTCGACCAAAGAAGTATTGCAGTTAGTTTCTGATATGTTCAATTCCCCCACACCAAACTCGCTGGATTGAACGCGTTGCTCGAATGTCGTTGATGGGGTCATCACGGAGGAGCACCAAATCGGCTCGTTTTCCTGGCTCAATCACCCCACGATCACTAAGTCCAAAGCTCTTCGCGGGTAGAGACGTTGCCGCCCGCAAGGCGTCAACCGTCGACATGCCGGCCTCAACAAGGAGCTCCAATTCATGGTGTAAAGCCTCTCCGTGGCGGATCTGAAACGGTGAGTCTTCCTCCTCGTTTGAATCTGTCCCCACCAACACAGGCACACCAGCACTGTATAGACGCATAACTGACTCTTTGCAATGCCCGTACGATTCAGTCCCGATAAACCATCTCCTGCCCTTGATGACGGTCCACAGGAGTGAGGGTTGAAGCAACAGTCGCACTATGGCGCTCCAGCCTAGAGGCTTACATATAGTTTCCATCATGGTTAGGGTAGGGGCGGATACCGACTTGTCAGTCATCATGCGTGTCACAGACTCATCGCCAAGTGCCTTATCCCGCGGGACATGCGTGATGACGTCTGACCTTGCCTCAAGCGCCATTGTGAAGGGAATATATGTCGCTGCATGGGTAATCACGAGCTTCCCTTGTTCATGAGCTGCAGTGACCAGGGCATCCAGCGTTGGCTGATCCGGCCCCGGAAGGTCGGCAATAACTTTGATGTAGTCTGCCCCCTCGGCTAGCCGGTCTCTCACAAAGCTCGAAGCATCTCCTGATCCGGAAACGAGGGTTTCTGGAGGAATCGGGAGTAGCTTGCTGTGAAGACTTCCGGGCGTTGTCGCGGGAATACATGCGCTTCGGATGTCGGTAAGGCCTTCACGGTTACGTAGTGCGTGTAGCTTCTCTGGCCACCACTCTCCCATCCCCAAGGCTGTGGTTACACCCCAGTCAGCCATTCGTTGCAGATGTCGTTCGCCTTCAAGGTGGACGTGCGAATCGATCAGTCCCGGAATGAGAACGCCGTTGGCACCGTCAATCTCCTGTGCTCCAGAAGCATCTGACACGATGACTCCGCCATCAATCACGACTGACGTGGGCGCGGTGAGTTGCTCGCCATGGAAAACTCGAACATTCTTGATGGCTACTTTCTGAGCCGTCGTTAAAGCATTAGATATGGGATCTTTTAGAGACGCCATTTGGATTATGGAGTGCCCCGTAAAGATTCTTGCTGTCGATATTTGTATCCACCTGCTTTGTAGAAATATGAAGCATGTGAAATTCATATCCCCTCAATTGCCGAAGGCTACCGCCAGATCATTTAAGGGATATTTGCCCAATTAGAACGCGAGAAGGAAATGTGCATAATTTCCTACCTAAGTTAGTCCACGATACATAATCCACAGTATTTCAAGTTGCGAACCGCATGATTGCTTTTCTCAAATTCCTAAATTAACTGTTACTTCTTCTTGTTGTTACTAACCAGCGCATATGACTTTATTGACTTTCTTGGCCTTGGCTACCTAACCCGGGGACCCTAATAAACAATGCAATTAACAGCGCTGCCTAGGCTAGATGGCAATAAAAGTACTTTTTGCTTAGTGCATTTTAATTAGCTATTGCCCTTATAGTAATTTAAATCTAGCCTTGAGAACTCTTTAGAGATAAATTATATTAATATATTAAATATATATTCAGTCTACTATCTAATTTAATTTTTATCTTATTTATTCATAATAGCAAACTTTCTATTTTTTAAATAGTTTTATTATATATTCCTGCTGCTACTGAAACTGAACAGACATTCGCCACCCCTTGACCCGATCCTACTTAACCTATTATTTTCCGGTCTTTTAACCATGCTTGGGCGCCAGATTACCGGTTTTCCAAGCTAGATAACGCGAAGACGGTATAACGGCGACGCGGGAAGCGAACATGACGCGAACACGGCGCGATTCGCCCTCGGAAGATTACAGGAAACCAACTTAGCTGCAAGGTAACGCGCATCGACAAGCTAACAAACCTTAAATGTAACCCCAACCCCTCGGAATTACACGGGAATTAAGGATGAAAATTCAAGGCGCGTAGATATGCTGAAGGAGGGATAAGGCAATTGCAGACGGAGATTGGGCAAGGTAATGCATATATAGCTAGACATAACATTGTAGAAAAAGAAGAATGGGAGAGAGAATAAAAGCAGAAGAAAACAAGATAGAAAAAAGAAAAGAAACAAATGCGCGTACCTGGTAAGCGGGTGCCATAGCAACTGTTGAGCTCCGACCGCTGCAGAAATGATGGCAAAGTGACATAATGTTATCGGCTGGGTGCGCAACGCTAAGGACTTCTTGCAGCAGGCCAGGCTTTCTAGCCATCGTTTTGACACCAGCTGCCTTTAACCAACTTAATTAGATGTTACCCTTAGTGACAGTATTAACATTAGGGCAAAACAATTAAGACTCCAAACCTTCTCCCTCGCGCACTCATTTCCAATGTCCAGGTCCCAAATTCCCCATTCATACCAAATCTCACCCTACAATCGCCTTCAACCTAGATATTTGCCTCTAGAATATCTCTTTTATCACCGCCTTTTGCTTTGTTCCTCGTGCCACCGCTTCAAGCGCGTATCGGAACCTACTTACTGTGCTTATTGCTGTGCTTTCTGCCCCGCCAATACACCATGTTCTATTCCGAGACTCTTCTCCGGAAAAGCGGGCCTCTTGCCAGCGTCTGGCTTTCGGCTACCTTCGAGCACAAGCTCTCTAAGAAACATATTCTACAATCGAATATCGCCGATAGTATAGCAGTCATTATCACACCCAGCCAGGCGCCTATGGCCCTGCGACTAAGCAGTCAGTTACTACTTGGTGTTGTTCGAATTCACCAGCGCAAAACGCGCTACTTGCTCGATGATTGTGATCATACTTGGGTAAGGATGAAGATGGTATATAGCATTCTCTCTTCCCTTCCAACATCATATAATAAAATGCCTAGGCCTTCCGACCAAGCGTTGAGCATGATCTTCCTGCCAGCCGACAACTTCCTGAACGCGAAACACTCACGCTTCCCGATAAGGTGATACCTTACGACGGTTTCGAGCCACCCCCTACTCTGAACGTGAACTGGCTTCTGTCCCAGATAGAGGAGGTAGAAATAAGTCCAATCGAACGCAAGCGTCGCGTCAGCTTACGTGACATATACTTACCAGAAGAATTTAGTCCTAGTCCTGACCTTGGCCCGCATGGGGAAGTGTTAGAGCCCATGGAAGGCCTTGATCTTGAACTAGATTTTGGTATTGAGCTTGGCCGAGAAGCGCCAGCTCCTCGCCCAATTCAGGAAGAAATGGTTAGCGAGCTAGAAGCCATGCCGCCCGAGAAAGAGGGCGCTGAGCGCGAACCATCTCTCGAACTAGGGTTAGCCGGGATTCCGATAGGTGGTGAGGAATTCGAGTTCCACCCGGCCGACATCAGTCGCGCTCGAATCACCGAATCCCCTCTCTCTGAGATCGACGAAGCACTTGCTCAGGAGGTCGAGGCCGAGTATGA